AGGGTAAAGTCAAGATGTGAGAACAAGGCATATGTTTCACATAATTCAGCCGGAATTAACAACTCACCTTGAGTGAAACCTCAGGACAATGAATTAGCAGCAGGAAGATGGTCAGCAAGAAATTTCAGAACTAAACCCATCTTGGAAAGTGTTCATTGGACATTTGACATTAAGGACTTGAGCTTGGTGATATGTTCTTTGGTCTTCACCTTGCTGGTATTTGTGGCGGCAAGTTCTTCCCGTTGGTATCAATGCCTACAATAATTAATCAGAAAATATGATAAGGAAATGGTAAAGTGATAATTGGACAACCTCTTCCTTTGTTATGAAAGTACATCCATTTATATATGTTGGTTGATAAATCCTTATGATGTTATCAAGGATTTGGATGTTTTTGAACCTGTCAGGCTTCAGCCATTCCATTATTTCATTTGAGGTAACAGCTGTTGATGGTTTTCTTTTCCTGGTCAGGGTTTTTAATAAAAACCCTTGGCTGGTTGTTATCCTAACATGAACTGGTGTTGTCATTCTTATTGTTGCCAATGTAGAATGCCTCAAATGAACATTCTTCATTGTTCTCATATTTCTAGTATTGGGTCATACTGAGTGATAGCAATGTATGGTCAATAATTAAATGTGTTTGTAAGGTTTCACTCTGTTACGTCTTTCTTTGTCAATGCTATCTGCAGAATCTCTTACTGTTGACAGGCCAGGTATTTTCATCTACACAACAAAAACCCTGAATTTATCTGTCTCTGTCTTGCCACTTCAAAAATTGCCATAAGCCCTTTGATGAAGTGGTCTGCCGTGGAATGTCTTGGATGGCACTCATTACTCAACAAGAGGACCCCAGAATTATCATAGTTTGGGATTTGAATGACTTTTGTGGCATTGTGAATCCTTTAAAAAACCTGATCAAGGGTTTTTTCTGCTGCCCACTATACACAGGTACTGTATTTGCATAGGCTAGCTACATACATAGCACAGCTTAAGTGGCTGGGGGAGGACAAGGGGGCATCTCAGATCATCCACAGTGGTGGGCTACAAATTGGGGCTATTTCCAAATTCGGCAATAGGGCCCCAAATTTTTGCTGCAGTGGTGGTCTCTACTGCCAAATATCTTTGTAGCGGACTCAAAACAATTTTGACCTTTTGACTGTGATTTTGGCAACATATAGCCTGGGTTCAAATTCCTGCACTTGCTCAATCCTATCCCTCATATATGTAAACCCATGATACCAATCTCAAAATGTGTGTATACACATCCTGTACACATCTGGAGCCTGGACCATTGTATATGGATGAATTTGAGGCCCCACCAAGATTTGCTTGATTTGAAGCACCAATTTTCAGCTCACCACTGTGGATTCTCTCAGAGCTAATTAGCAAACCCATGGCGACTGTGTGGTAAACAAAATTGACAATTGAAGAAGGTTCTGCACCTGGTCACCACAACTCACTGTGTCAATATTTGTGTAGCACGTCAATGTGCACACACAGAGAGTTTTGAAACAAATCCCAAAGTCTTTTGGTTGGATTTAGACTGAGATTGTTGTTGAGCGCCCTTTGTGAATAGTGGTTTATTCATAGGATTTGCAGAAGCCTTTGTCATCAGCTGGGGTCAACTGACTTTCAATGTCCCAGTTGATAAGGGGAAGATGCACCTGTTGTGGCACCTCTTTGATGGGTCTTTACAGGGTCTAATGAAAGCTTTTTGTGTGTGCACATTGATGTGCTACAAGGATATTTGCATGCTGACTACCTTCAATTGGGGGTTGCACTCAATAATTCCTGTGGTGTAACACTACACCAGATTTCAAATTTACCACTGAGTTTAGAAAATTATACACAAGGCCGAAGGGGTCAAATAAATATGTAAAAATAAGGGTTGAATTCCCCTATGTGTGCCCATCATGTTGCATGTTTTTACAGATTTTTACGGCAGCAGTGTATATCAGGTCAGAAACTCAGTTTATGTCCAAAACCAGCGTCATGGAGGCATTAACCGGTAAGTTGGAGCATCCAACCTCCCGTGAGACACAAGTGAGACATCGGTATAAAATGACAAGAGGTGTTGTCTGGTATGTAAACTTAACAAGTTGCCTGGTGTCTTTTGGTCCCCATACAGTACCATACATACAATGTGTACGAGCATTGATGGAATAGATGTTTCCAATTTTTTACAAAGTCAACAAAGAGTGAGACAAAAACACCAACACACATCCAGGGATGCTTTGCACTTCTGCTCACACAAAGAAGGTGATAACTTCTGTCCACAGTTCACCAACCCCAACAGCTTCCCTGAACTAAAAAAGGATGGCAAATGGGCCTTCAAATCCTCTGTCGCTGAGCTTAAAAACAGTGGTTCATCATGAATACTAGAAATTAGTATGACCATTATCCTACAATCATTATACATATATCATCATTGTCAACTTAGTGGCAGTTGTTACAAAACCGAGATCACTACAAGTAAGTATGTTACCAGTGATACCAGAAACAAAACATTAAAGTAGATCTATATAACAAGAGTCCAAAATCAAATTGGTGGATTGTGAACAAGAGAAAGAGGGTCTAGAATTGAACCAAATCAATATAGGATCACAAACAAGCAAAAAAGAGTCGGGAATCAAATCAAATTGAACCAATGCTGAGCAAGTGAGAGTCAAATCAAATTCTAGATACCAGAAACGAGCAACTAGGATTGGATTATTATTCAACACAACAGAATTGATCAGCATTATTTGTCAATGATGTTCATGACCAAGAGGGTGAATAGGAAAGTCAGAATGTAATATCAAAAGCAATTGACTGGCCCCTTCTTTCCGCACACTGTTGTAAGCTCGGCAACAAAAATTATTGTTGAGATTTCAAGTGAGTGAGCAAGTCCTTCATCTCATAAAAAAAATTCTATATGTAATTGATTAGGGTGGCACTGAGAAAAGAATGGGAGGTGCTGTATAATACTGTATTTTGAATAGAAATACAGTACCATACTACACTTTTGGATGGTGTCTCACTGAGTGTCTTATTTTGTGTCTCACTCTCACTGGAGGTTGGATTCTCCACTGTTCCCGCATTAACCTTATGAGACCAATAAAATTGTCAATTTTGTGTCAACCTCTGGAATGTCTGCTCATTCTGAAAGCTACATGTTTAATTCACCAGATACATATTAGAATGAGTGGTGTGTGTCCAAAAATGAAGAAGGTACAGCAATCACCGCCCCCAACAGCAAAGCCAGAAAAGCTTATAAATGTGTTCCACAAGGGCATTAGCATCCAAATGGAAACTGTAGATTCAGTATGTGGGTTTCATAATGTGCAACTCCCAAATTGATCAAAAGAAAAGCATTGTATCTGTGATTGTTGAAGGTGTAGCTCTTGATGAAAGCAATCACAGCACCACCACCCATTCCCCAGAAGGTTGGATCACAGGGACATGCACAAAACCTTTTCTACAAAAATGTGGTGTAATCAAGGAGAAGGATTCAATTTCAACCTCAAAGACAAAATATAGTCAACTGGGCATAGTTTTTTTTGCTGCCAAAAAGAGTGTCAGGCCCATGTAGAGAGGGCATAAGGGCATAAACCTCTTAGGGCATACAAAAGCTCTGCCTTTTGTATGTCATTCTCAAGAGACAACTTTACAGCTACTAAATATATAAAAGGCATAAAAATACAAATTTGTGTTGCACCAAGATTTAATACAAAAGTATAAAACCTGTTAAATCCGATCAAAAGTGACAGGTCTCCCGCAAGACATTGTTGAAATGTGTCCAAAACCAGGTTTAATCTAGTTTTGGGCTCTCAGATTTTACTTCGGGTGCATCACACAGACAAAGAATTCTGCCGTTTAATTCTTTAACGGCTGTAAACTGTTGCAGATGTAACTGCAATTGTAGTGGCTGAAGATTGAATTTTGAAATCCAAAATTGAAAAAATTGATTTCCCTCATTCTTTTTACTTCCAGAGTCATTCATTCAACTCTCAGTACCCTCAGTCTATAGACTCAATGACCCCTGGGTAACTCTTATACATCAGCCTTCCACCACAGTCCAACAAGAGAGGATGACTACAATGATCCACTATGCTTTATCACAAAGAAGTACCAACAACCTGAGACTTAACACTTGACACTTCACTTTCCTATATCCCCCCTCAAAATGACTACCACTACTTAATCCCTAAGGAACTCTTGACTGATTGTAGTCTCTATCTTTCCTTATCTTTCTTGCTCTTACTCATTTCTCTTTCAATTGTGTTACTCCTTTGAGAAAATCTGAACTGATCACACAAAGGATTTTTTTTTCAAAGTTTCTCCCCATGCGTACATGTTCCCTTTGACTGTGCCTCTTGCTTTCGAATCCAAGAGGCACAAGCTCACTAAATTGCCTGAGCCTGACCACAGGGTGTTTATGGCTCATGTTGTGGAGGCGGCGCACCAAGCGGAAGTTAAACGCGCCCTCAAAATTCAAAAGTGCCTCTCGGACGAACGAGTATGTATGTAACCGAGAGAGGGTTAGGCATGAATTTGGCCAGCCGGGCCGGAAACATTTGGCTTCAAAAAACTGCATGCTTGCTCAGCTGCCAAGGAACATTGTGAGTGTACATGTTCGAAGTGATTCAGATTGCAATCTTGATGGAGGGGTAGTGAAAGAGGGCTCGATAGCGGATCAGCTTGTGTTACACGCAGAGAATGAGAACATAGGCAGAGTAGCTTGAAGTCAGGAGGCAGATATCGACTTGACATAACGATACGTGTGCTTGGTGTGAAGTCGAGGTTAAGGCATAGTCATAGAAGACATGGATTCCATCGAGAGGCAAACATAGATAGTAGAATGAGCAATGCGGTGGGTGAAGTGAGGATGACCCATGGACCGACGATTGTTGGAGGGCCGGAAGGGAATATTCAAAAAAGCACACGTTGGTCCATCTGGTGGCTCGCATGATCTTCATACTCATTACAAGCCCATTAAGTGATCGCATTACAGTCAAAGCTTATGCAGCAGCAATTCTTTTCTGGGCACGAGGTCCCCGGGTCTTCATAACAACATCCATTGGCTCATCAGCCTTCTCTACTTCCTCAGTTGTAGGTGTCAAGATGATCTCAACGTGACAAGGGTGACCCTGGTAAGGGTTGACTAAGATGAAGCAAAGACATGGAACGTAAATGTGGGTTCAAACAAGAACAAGTTCATAGAATACTGACTTCGACCATGGGCACGGTATGTACGACGGCGGGTTTTGGGGGCCTGGTTGACATTGATGTTGGTGACGACGAGGTCTTCTGGGTCGAGCTCGTTGGCCACGGCGTTGGCTTGAGCGTTCTTCAGGAGGGCGATCATGTATTTGGCGGTCTTGATAGGCCATCGTCCTAAGAATGGGGGATGGAGTCCATAATTGAGTTAAGTCTAATGATGCAATACGTTGAAAGATGACGAGATTGTGTATGTAGCCACGAACCCTGTGTGGTCTTGTGGGCCTTGGCTTGTGCTGTTCGGCCGACACCACCGTTGAATCGTCGGAAAGGAACACACTGCTTGTGCTCAGTGACATCTCCGAGGAAAGTGAGAGCTTTAGCGAGCTTGAGACCGGTGATCGCTGCCGCGGTTTCACTATCAATAAAATAGTGATCATCAAATCAGCTGAGCATTCAAAATTTGCCGTTCGATGGATGGTGTTCAAGAATGTTTCGTGATTTTGCAAGATGGGCGACCGGCTGAGATTGTTCCTCGGAGTCGAATGAGAGAAATCAAGCAGGTCAAGATGAGAAACACACCGAGTGTTCTTGAAGTGAGTGCGGAGGTAGTTGCTTCTTGATCGAGCAACAGCCTTTCGGTCTTCCTTTCCCTCCTCCTTCTTGGGGATCAAGTGGGCGGCGGCGTACTTCGGTGCCATCTCGTTCTTGTCGATATCGTGTTGGTCTTGAGGAGGGTAATGGTAGGGGGCAAAGTTTACTACGGGTGGCACCCGCCAAGTCAGTTCTTGAAACCTAAGTGGTACAACATATCCTCGGATTACCTGTAATTCGTCGCAATATCACCAGAGGTTAGGTTTCAAAAGCATCGCCGGTCTGACTGTGCCGTCATATTTTCACTCCAGAGTCCATCCTTCAAGTCACCGTCTGTCATGGATAAATTTTGATCTCGTACTTCATGGAGTACTTTCATCTTTTCAGTTGCCACCCAATCGTCGTGCATGATTCATGTTGATCGTTCTCGAAATAGTCAATTGTTCACTCCGTACTTGCGACACCGAATTTCATGCTAGGTGTGAGGATAATCATCTAGTATCGTTGTACCGAAGTCAATAATCGCCCACCGACTGGGCTTGACTTGTAATGTTGATTGCTGGAGCGAGGATGGAGCGAGAATTTTTGATGTGAATTTGAGGAAAACAGGTCATCTCCCACCAACTGTCCGACGCACACTTGCTAGCCATCACTTGCTCGCCATATCCACCTGAGCTGTGAGCAGTTTAGTTCAGCCTACCCATGATGGAGTTTGAAAAGTCTAGTGACTTGGAGATTTTGCTGTCCTCGTCATAATTTGCACCTCTTAAATGTCAAGAAGCAAGTTAATCGTGACCAGGCAATCTTACATAAAAACTTCATAAGTAGAGAAGACGCGGGCAAGCCTGGTTCCTTGATTGATCTTACCATCTCATGCTCCTTGTCTTATTGAAAAAACAGACAAACATTCCATCTTTCCAGAAATGTCATTTAATATGCCCCATGAGTGAATAAACTTTCCAGCTTGACAAAAGTTTGATCTCTGTTGTTAGATCCAAGGGCAGTAGAGGAGAGCCGTACCGCAAATTAAGTGTCATGAAAGGACTTTTCGCATATTTTAACAAATATGATTTCATTTTAACAATGATCTCAAACCATTCCAATGTGTAAGATTTGGAAAAAAGGTCACCCAGACTTGAGATTAGTCAAGGAATCGGTTCCGGAACTCATTTGGCTATGGGACACGCGTGCTACTCATTGTGGCCCGGGGCCTGAACTTGCATGGATGTTTGACCCGGGCGAAAGATGATCAGGAGCGCTTGTGGGTGGCCACACTTGGCGCTGAGCGTTCCCACTGGGACGCTCCCCGCTCCGTCAAGAGAGAAAATTGAAAACAAATGACTAAATAAGGCTGTGCACCACTTGGAACTTAACCCTTTGTCTGACAAGGAGAGTGGTGGGCGGGAAATTAAAAAACGAAATAAAATAAAGATTAAAATAAAGTAAGAAAAAATTGCTAATGAGGACTACGATTTGATAAATAATTGAAATAGATGTATAGAGAGAACTACAATTATAAGATTTAACTGAATAGAATTTTTTATGGATTTTTCTTTTGTTAACAAATTGTAAAGACGATAGTGAAAGATTGAATCAGAGGGAAAACAACAAAATGGAAACGGTGAGGCTCTAGCTAACAGTACTTCGCCCAGACCCATTGGGGGAATCTGTCGTGTAGCATTCTGTTGCACCTCTTTTCAGAGTAGCTCGCGTGTGTCTCTTTGCCAGGTGTCACTCGTCTCGTTCACAGATTCCACTGTGTTAACATTACATGCCAACTTCGAAGAACACATTGAGCACTTTGTTTACCTACCTCCTCTGCATCCATCTGCCTAGTGTCAGCTGATTTGCTATTTGCTGCTTGTGCCATGTGAGGCAAACCTAACTTAACTACAGCCGTTCCAACAATTAACGGTAGAATTCTTCATTGGTGTGTTGCATCCGAATTTAATCCAAAAGTCAAAAACTAGTTAAAGCCGGCTCAAAGTGACAGGTCTCCCATGCCTCCTTGTTCATTTGCGTGCAAAACTGGGTTTAATCCAGTTTTGACCTCTCTAGATTTAACCTCGAGAGCAACACACGATCAAAGAATTCTGCCATTAATTGTTGGAACGGCTGAAAGTCCCTCTGTGGCCCAGACACTTTTTCCTTGCGAGCTCGGGTGTCTGGAGAGGGACTTATGACTTATTGGGCTTCCCTGGTGAGCCAGCAGGGGGTTCAAAATTCAACTTTGGCTTGGAGGTTTTTTCAAACCGCAAAAGCTCCCACTTCCTCTCAATCAACCCCCTTGCCCATTTGAACTGGAGCTACCTGTGCCCATTCTCATCAGATCTGTCTATTCAGATTTGACATATCTCGCTCTGAGTTTTCTCAAGAAAGAGAGAAAGATTTTGAGATTTGTTGTTTGGTGACTGTATTTTGGAAACAAAATTTAAAAAGGACCTAAATTCTTTCTCTTGCAATAGGATTAATAATTGATCAGTGAACTTTGTTCAAAAACCGAAGTTGTTTGTCTAAATGTTCTGAAGATTTTGCTCGCCTCAGAAAATCTATATTGTATCAACTACAGAAGATGCAAGGCTGTAGAAGAGCAGGGCCTTTTTGGGTCCCTGCTGGTACACCAAAAGTAGCTGATAAGTCCCAAGTCCCTCTCCAGGGCACCAAGCTCGCAAAGGTAAGAAAGCCCCTGCGGATTTCGGACTTGTATTAAGTTAGGAGGCAAAATTCTTAGTCTAGGAGGTGTATCAAGAATCCTGTCACTAACATGTTACATATAGATATTCTCATACTTCATATCCAAGGTTTGGCCACAGTTTATGACAGTCAAAATTTGCTTACAATTCAAGTGATTGATTCACAATTAAACTGCACCATTAGGTGCCAAGTGCATTTGATTCAGATCATATGGCATGTACACTATGGGTCAATGGTTGAAAGGGGAGGATGTCCGTTCTTCATCCTCCCCAAGGACATCGCGCGGATGACTGCAAGATATCCTTGCGATGTCTTTTGGGTTCTGGCTGTCAACAATTTGAGTCCGGTTGACATATAAGACAGAACCCTGAGACAAGTCCCACAGCTTGCTCAGACCTTGACAGTGGTCTGAGATTGAAAGAAAGTTTTGTTGAAGGGCTTCTCATAAGAGGAACTCGTGTGTTGGCTTCTTCCTCTTTCTCCCCCTTCACAAATTTCAAACTTGATCATTTTTGTACCTTCAGATCTTCTCATCAACCTTTGCTGTTCGGCCTTGTTTGGCCTTGTTCTATGGCCATGTTTGTTCCTTCATATTCTACAAATTTGTCCCCTTCATCTTACCATACACTTCACAAGTCAATCCAACAGTTATGAGCAGGTCTCTTGGTTCATCCTTTTATATTTACAATCCCTCAATCATCTCTTTTATACAATTCTCAACTCAATTTTTTTTGTTATTGTTTTTTTCCTTTTTTCAACTGTTTGTACTCTTCTTGTTGATGATCCAATGGATGAAATTACAAACTCATGTTTGCTTAATATTTATCAATGTAACCAATTGCCCCAAATCAAGAACTACAATAGGTCGCACTGGGCTAGCGGAGGTCGCACTGGGCTGGGCTTCCTGCACCCAGAACCCAATTCAAAGCGGTCCAAACCATTTGAACTACATATTTGAATGCGTTTTGGCAATTGAATCAGGTCTCTCAGCGTCGCGCGGAACCTAAAGCAAGGATATTGCGCCGATGTCCTTGCTCTCATCCGCGCAATCTCCTCTGTGAGGATAATCAACGGAGATCAGGCGGATCTCCGTTGGATGTTGCAAGACAGGACATCCGCCCGGCGGATGTCCTGATTGGACCGTAGTGTAATTCAACAAGGAGCTGCCACTTTCCATGCTAATGGAGGAGGAATTTGTGTGTTGATAACTTGGGGTTGGTTGAAGACAAAAAATTATCTGGAAGAAAAGAGATGTTTGTTAATACACAATACAGGAAATGACAAGATGAAGGAAGATGTTTTTTAAGTCAATTTTGAGTGATGTATTATGGACTGAAAGGGAATGTTTTACTGGTCAAAGGCAATATTGTTACAACATTTATAGTTTTAAGAATGTATGTGGTGTCCAGATTGAAAGCTTAATCAGTGAGCACAATAAGATGAGAATTCTGTGATTGAATTCAAAGAAAGATGGCTTAAAAAGCAAAAGGCAAAGGATACATCAAGAGGTAGAAATCACATTAAGTGCATAAATTGTTGGCTTTGTCTTGTAACAAGGAGAAGCAAAAAGGCCAGATGGGTTGAAATTGAGAAAGTGATAGTGAAAACTGCAAGGATTTGAGGTAAAGCAATGATATTTTTCGGATTGGGAAAGAAGGGTGACTTGACTCTGAGATTGAATATGTGTCTACAATAGTGGTATTCAAAACTCCAGAAACATGTCCCAGAAGTGTCCAGAAGAGACATCCAGAAACTTCTGGGATACATCCCAAAAGTTTTTGGGTGTCACTTCTGGACACTTCTGGGAATATTTGAGTGCACCTCTTAATGGTTGTTGTAGTCACATTACAGATATTTAGAACTATCCTGGTTCTGTGCTCTTCAAGAGCAACACCATGGTTGTTGTCTGATGTGTTGATGTTGGGAATACAGGCTTCGAGGGTAGAAGTGTGCTGGACAGGAATTCTTGGGATAGAGAGTTTCTGAGGCTCAAAAAGTCTGCCTGTTTTTCATGAATCATGTCAGACATTTTGGAAATTATGGTGAGAATTATCCAAGATATGACCTTCAAAAGAAGACAAGATTGATTGATCTTCTTTTTTCAATTGGGCAGCCGTTGATTTGCACAATAATGTGGAACAGGTTGATGTCATAATGCATAGCCAAAAGTTGTGTTCATCTGCTTGAGTTTTTGTTGCTCTAACCAGTTTTCAAGGACAAAAATCTTTGGGAAAGTAAATTGTGGTGGTGAATACTATCCAGAGAAGAAAAAAGTTTTATCACACAGCAATTCTTGTGAAGCCTGACACCCCAACAATTGTGGAACAAAAAATTGAGGCAAAATCTGATCAAACTTTTAAATGGTCTATGGCGTGCTAACACTTGAGGGAATCTAGGCCTCCATATCACCTCATCTTTGCACACCATCATCTCAAAGACACTCAATTGACTTTGGAACATCACATCACCGCCTTAGCAATGTATCATGTATGATATATGCGTTTATACTCTTGAACCATGAAGAACTTTCACAATCAACTTTGTGTATCATTAGACATTTTCATCTGGCATAGGGAGCTCTAGGACTGCTGATCAGTTGATAATATGTACATATAAGCTTCGATTGTAGAATTTGTATGCGGACTGAATGTGCGGGGAAAGCCAAGTTTCAGGTCACCGCATCTCCTCCAACCTCGCCATTGCTTGCACTCAAAGACCGAGAACCCTTGAGGATGAGCATGGCAGCAAAACATTGACACAAGAAGAGGCAATGTGCAGGGGACCTCTGGGACACTCTTGACCTGCATAAAGCTCAATAGTGAGATCTATCAGTATCCAATTTGCAAAGAAATGATACATGTGAAATGATACATTCAACGGCGAGGAGATATAGTTGAACAAGGAAGTGTGTTTCCCATTTGCATTGTCAAGATCCAGATGGAAAACACAAATCACCAAGACCCATCACTGCAGAATACAAGATGAAGAAGAGAACGAAAAAGGAAGCTGAATCCACAAAGGAAGAAAAGACTGAATGAAATGGATCGAAATCAACCTAGGAAGATTTCCAGCCCCAGAAGCCGCCACTGTCTGAAGTCGGCTTGCTCCCGGGCGGGGCTCGATGAAAGTAAGAAGATGTATGCGAGTAGGCAGATATATAATCGAAGATGGTTTCCTGGTATCAGACAAGCGATTTGAGGACATCCCAGCGGTAGTTTGGTTATGGATATTGGAGTTGGAAAGGTTCATGATTATGCGACATGAAGTTGATGGGTGAGGAACATAGCAATGGACAGCAAAATATTGGATGTAGTCAGTCAGTATATTGATATCGTCACATGCAGTCTTGAAATCGGCAAGATGACAGACCCCAACTTGAAGATATCCTGTTGCGACTGTCTGTATTGCACCTTCAGGAAGTTCTTTTGTCTTCACACTGACAATTTGGTTCGATTCAGAGAAAAAATGTTACAAGTAGATCTGATTAGTATTCACCAAGTCTGAGAAAGGGTTAAACATCTTTTTTCAAAAAAAAAAAGTTCACCAGTAACCTGTATTCCTCCTCACACCCGCCAACACAGTAGTGACTAAGGCAAGATCAAATGCATAATGTGTGACACGTCCAAAAACCATTCTGCACTTAGATTCGGATGAAAGTTGATTGCGTTTTTATTCGAAAGGGATCGTGAATATATTGCGAGGAAGATTCAATCGACCAATAAAGACCAATTTATGAATAGGTATTTGGCGACGTTGTACGATGATGGTCGATAATGATTCCTTTTTGCTTACGAAGAAAGTGTGTTTGGGGGACTTGGAGACAGGCTTGATGCGTTGAATTTATACGAAGGTCAGCATACGCAGAACTAGATGAATCAGGCTGGTCGAGGTGGATGGAACATGAAAGCTGGAATGAGACTACGGTGGTCCTCGTCGTCTTGTGGAAAATTATCCAGCTGCACAGCAGTCAGGACCCTGGACTCTGGAGTCACTTCGTCGTCATTCAATATCCGCTGAGAGCTGTATCGGTACCGAAACCGCAGCTTCAGCTTGCATGCACTCGGGACGTTCGAACACATTCACTAAGGGTACTCAAAGCAAAGTATGTAGCGCTACATACTTTTCGCTACATACTTTTTTTGGCGGGGACAAAGAAAAAAAAATATACTTTTGGCCTCGCCTTCCCCGCCAAAAAAAGTATATAGCAAAAAGTATGTACACGTACATACTTACTTTGAGTACCCTTACTGTTCCAACTTCGCAGGCTCAGAGTCTCAGTCAGCAGTCAGGATTTGATGTTACAAGCAACAGTCTTTATATTTATCATTCCGTTAAAACACTCTTCGCTATTCACTGTGAGTGTTTTGATTTTGATTTTCTTCCCTTGCAGGCATTGATTTGTATGTGTAAGTCTCTCTTCCGTATAATCATATATTCCGTACATGAGACCTTAAGCTATGTAACTCAAACAATTGTTAAAAGGTACATCGCGCGTGTGGGGGGGCGTGTTGTAAAGGCTTAGTAATCTGGTACATAAGATGTCTCAAAAGAAACTAATCCACATTGCTTCACAGTAGTCCTACATTAGATAGTTGGTGCAATATGTGAAATCAAAAGCACTTAAAAGAATGAGAAATAGAGAAAATAAAGGAATAAAAATAGGCCGCAGGTCTTGTGGCATGGTAGGCTCTCTGCGTAGTAGGGACGCGGGTGCAGGGGTTATTGGGAGGGAAAAAGATTGAAATCAAAGTTGAAAGTTAAATTTAAAGGTGTGATTAGTACAGTGGCCGTGGAGCACCAAATGAGTCAAAACCTCAAAGTGCAAAAAATCGACCTAAAACTTGCCCTAAAAGCCCTGTTCAGCCTATCCTGAGTCTGACTGACAACACTTTGCTGGTTGTCACTCCCTGTCCGCTCAGTGTTCATTCCATCAAGTTTTTTTATATCAGCTACAAAGCCTTTCTCTGGAGTCATCATAAGGAGCATTGGATTTACAATATGCAAAGATTCTTCTTCTGAGCAATTGCTGTTGAAAAACAAGTTGCATTGTCTCCTTGGTGTTTGCTGTCGAAAAGCAAGTTGTGTCAATTGCTTGATCTAATTATCAATGTATCATGGTTACAAAATAACTCCGCAGGGAAAATCACAAGTATATATTTGAAAGATCATTACAATATCTATCAGCATTACTCATGAATACACTTTCAAAGATCATGATTTTGAACAACTGCGTTCTTATTACAAGGTTCAATTTTCTGAAAACATCACTCACTGGGTAAATGAGTATCTGAAAATTAGGACCAAAATATCATACATTGAATTATACATTGATGATTGGCAAACAAATAGCAAAAAGAGATACATGAAAGAATAAGATCAAGTGAAATGCAGGGTTTTTTGGTCCAGGGCAATGGACTTGCAACGGAATTGGGCTCAGGATAGGCTTCAGTGGTCTTTCAGGGGGAGTTTCATACCAAGATTTCACATCTTCAAGTTTTGACTCATTTGGTGCACCAAAGCCACCTTAGATTAGTGAATATGGGATGAAGGAATATCAATTGTAAGAATTTTGACCTCTAAGCATTGGGGAGGGTTTTGTTTCTAGGCCTAGTACCATTCCTGTGCACCGGGCCCACAGTTCACAACAATCATCCTGTGTTCTAATGGAACTGCACATATACCATTGTGGCTTTGGATACCCGTAGCATTGAATTGCTTACCAATGATAAAGGAAGAGTGTTCAAAAATTCATCACTCATAGATAACCTGTGGAGGCATGATTTCAAGAGATGATTCTCTCAAAAAAGAGACACCTGGGTGATGCTCACTGGAATAAGATTACACTTTTACTATGTTAGCTTCTTGACTTTATATCCTCCTCTTTGCCTCGTCCACGTTAGTCACAAGATTAGATCTCATTATCCTTAGTTGTTAGCCGGTGTCTCATCAACACCAGGCTAAGAGTTTTCTCTTACACCTTTCAAAGTTTGTCATTCTGTCACAGAGCTGCAAGCATTCAGTCTCTGTCAAAGCTCAATTTTCTACAGTAAATATGCCAGAGTACTCCAATCTTGTAGGTATATTTCAGAATCACAATCTTCCTTCAACATGATGTACATTCCAGATCTCCCATGATTCATATGTCCAATTCTATCAGGCTGGTAAACATGATCTAGGCGCAAATTTCAATCTACAGATCGGGGTCCTCATTAGAAAGATGTCAAAGTACAAGTTTTGGTCAAAAATGATTAAAAATGAATCCCATTGCGGTCATTTATCATAGATGATATGTTGATCTTCATTGAGCGTGCTATTCCACCGTGGTCTCCATGACCCATCTTTCTAGATGAAGAATTGGAAAATTTAAGGAAGGACTCATTGCTACATGGGCGCACCCCCCTTGAATGTTGAAAAACCTCTATAATTTGTATATCTTATTTTATTTTTTTGAAGCCTTGTGGCATCGAGTTTTAAGGGCTCAGGCTGGGTCAGGGATGATACAAGCTGGTATTCATTTCAATGAGGGATCTTATTTAACTGATTGTATCAAATATAGGGTTACAAAACTCTCTTTTCTAGGTGACCATGTCCTCATCTTAATCCTCCTGCCAACCTCGACCTCACAATCCCCCTTCCGCAGTCATAGATTGACGCCCCGAACATTTCAAATATTCATTTCTAGGAAGCTGTCAAAAAGACAATGTAGTATATGGTAGATTTGATCAACGTTGGTAGTGGTAATACATGATAGTTCTTTATCCGATTTCCATCCTAACGATCTAAGCCTTCAAGGCTTTTGTGCAAAGGTAGCGTTCATAGTCGTCGGAGCAATTTCGGGCGTAAGTCAATCATCTTCATCAAAGTCTTCTGGATTCAAGGAGTCTTCTCCAGTGACATATATATAAGAGCCTCGGGTAGATGAATCCTCCTCCGATCTCTCAGGAAGCGCATATTGCTCATCTGAAATACCGAAAGCTTTTCCATCGGCTTTGATCACGATGGCTTCCACCTCTTGTGGCGAAGAACTGCGGTAAGCAGGATCGTCGTACGATTCCTCGGTTCCGGTGATCATTGGAAACTTTCTGATGAAAGAGATGTATGTAGTCGAGCTGAGTCAAAACAATCAGTCGCTATTAACTCATGATACCGAAAGCGAGAAGATAAAACCGGAATAATTGATTTACCTGCTGTAAGTCCATGACATCCCACTTTCTGTGTAAGTGTTTGATGTAGAAATCGGAAGGCAGCCTTCACATGGGGCCCATGGATCAACGGTGCGGCTCAGGAACGGAGGAGTTGGAAGGCCTTGGCAAGGCTTGCTAACGAGCAAAGTCATCAACGCAGTGATGGCACAAGCGGTCAGAATGCGACAAGATCGCATTATTGTTTTGTGGATACAGGCAAGCAAGATCTAGTCGACTCTATTTTTTTCAAAATAATCGTATCAAACTTTGAAGAGGCTTTTAACTTAAGATTCTGGCGGTGAACTCCGTTCCCTTATAAGACCGTCGAGGCCTAAGCGGGTGAAAGCGAGATGAATATCAATCCGACCAGTAACAGTACGGGAAGAGGGCCCAGGTCTTTGGCAATGGAAGACGTCACGACGAAATGAGCAATAACGACAAGGTAAGATAAAGTAACTCAGTCAAGAGTGTTGAAGGCGAGAAAAGCTGATTGGCTGGGAGGCGGGCATGTCGAATGCGGATGATGGCAGCGACATTGGGCCAATACGGCTGGTATTTATAAGATTCTCCATATGTCGTGTTCGAGGTTGACCTCCTCATCACATAATTCTGGATCATTGCGGGTCACCAGGATCTCGATTATCAAAAGTTCGATTCCTTAGCGATATTCATTACTCGGATGCACTGCCACTGACACGATGTACTAATGCCTGACCTCCGTAAATCAGATACGCTTCAAACGTGGCAAGAATGAGCAAAGAGTGCAATGCTACTCATTGTAGTCGAATGCGAGGTACCAAGCTCAGGAAATGAAGATCGCGTTTTCTATCTTTCAGAAACGAATTTGTTGTGCGATGGCCAAGGGTTCAATACCACTTGCACCATGGGTATGATCCATATTGTTAATGAACTTATTTAAGTCGTCACTTTCTGATCTGATGAATATTGATGTGAAAATGAAGAAGGTGAAGTGCATTGGCTTCTCTCGAAAAGATGAAGATATGGAGCCGAGTCAGTCGACGAAGCGAAATTGAGTGAATAAGGCAACCGGTTGCGAAAATGTGGAATGAGCGAGAGCGCAACCTCGAATAAACTTCCGACTCAATGGACATCTCTCAGCTACCAAGCGTGAATCCTCTCTCAATCGCTCTCCAAATTACGACTTGAACAAGGATATTTGACTGGCACGCAAAGTGCACCCATCATCTGAAGACATGTCGTGGAGAACCATCAATTCACCACTGATCATTTAATCGAGAAAACTGCGAGGAACAGGTTATCAGCTTTATGATAAAGCTAACACATTGATTGAGAGAAATAACAATTTGAGGAAACGAAAATTGTTGTACAATGAAATTGATTTGATGAAGAGAAAGGTTCAATGAGAGTTATCGAACAACCTTTACAAGAACTCAACCAATTATGTCAAAGTTTAGGCCACACTGTTCACGCGTCTCCATATTCCACCACCCAATCCACACGCCTTTTTTCACTAAACTTCAATTGCAGACAGCACATTCTTCTCAAGATACCTCAAGAGATCAAAAAAGTTTATTCCAGAGGACCCCAATGATTAGAATGAAGACCTCAGCTTAGAAAGCTCTTCAATGAGAGTGTGAGCATGAACACCGCAAGAAAAAGAAGGTATATAGAGATTGAGAAGAAGCCTATGCACAACTTATCAAAGACTACCTTTCCCCAATCCCAACATACAACAAGGAGACCTCTCAACATCAATTTCAAATGCCCAGTCATATGCTTCAAGACATCTACATCCAACTTGAACTAGCACAGCATGATAAGAACTGGGAATAAAGATGCATGAGCATACATTCAGTCAACTTGTTTTCTTTCACTCTCATTCATACGTTCTTTGAAAAGGATTGTACAGGAAGATTGTGCCTATTGAATGAGCAGAAGGTCACTGGCACTCTTTGCAAGCTTGGGTATGGAGTACCTGCAGACTCCACTGTAACAGACAAGTATCCAACAATGGCAGGAAAGTACACCTCTCAAAGCTCTGGGGAAGTTTTGCTCAGTAATAATTGAAATTTACAGTCCTGAATTTTTAAGACCTCCAATGGAGGAAGTTTTAATTACTATAACAAAAGAATATACACGATGAGGGTTTCCTGGTTGTAAGGGATCCATAGATGCAATGCATTGGGCATAGGAAAACTGTCCAAGTGTTTGGCAAGGGCGGTATCAAGGCAAGGAGAACTCACCAATAGAGCACTAGAAGCAGTTGCTTAAACTGTTGAAGAATTTCACCATGTCTGTTTTGAGGTAGCATGTTGACGTGCTCACACCAATCAATTTCCGTAGAGGTTGGATATAACCTACAAACAGGTCTGAGAGCTAAGCATACAATTGCCTTTGTCAAGAGGTTCAGACAGCAAGAGTGTTAAATGGGCTCCTTTGTTCATAGTTCCATTGAAAAACAGCACATTTTTGATTGTCTATTATTATTAACAAAGGATTTGCATTTTCTAGAGACAAATTGAATAAAGATCTGTTCAAATTTATCCACAACTCTCTGTGTGAGCACATCGACGTGCTCATGGGGGACAGACATGGTGTTTGGTACACTGTTTTTGCATCACTTGGATCTCTGAACAATATCAATATCTTGACCTCAAGTCCTTTTTTTGACAAATTTCTCTTGGGTATGTCCATATTAATCCTTTCACTCTTGATCAAAGATGTAGTATGATATTGACTTATTTGTGCATGTATCTGCACAGGAACAGAAGACATTTTTCACTTTTAAGTAAGTGGAAATGGATACACACAAGGATATTATATAGATGATGGTATCTATCCCTCATGGCCAGTTCTGATCAAATCAATTTGACATCTGGGTGATGCTACAATGTCTCTCTTTTTTAAAAGACAAGAATCTGCAAGAAAGTATATTTGACAAATGAAACTATTCAGGCTTGTTGGTCAATAATCAAGCAACAAGGTTGGCTTTGGAAGATGTGTAATCTCACACAGATCAAGTATTGCTACATCATACTACACAACATGGTGGTTGTAAAAAGATTAGAACAGGACCCTATCATTACAGACTATGATATTATTAGTAAAGGACAAGTATTTCCAATGTTTGAGATCCACATCTTGGCTTGTCACTTACCACTATCATTAGTGCATCTCAAGAGCTTTGGAAAAGCAGAGTTCATTTGAGATTAACTTGGGATCTCATCACAGCGGATTGGCTGGCACAGGGAGGTTTGTAGACAAGCAAATAGGAGATTCATTTCATCATTTCTAAATAAAGATAATGTTGAAGACCAATGAGGTTTAAAAACAAATGTAAATAATTGATTCCTTTTGCATAGTCCCCCTAAGCTTGAATGAGATAGATAGTTTGATTTAGAATCCTTTCAAAATCCTTTCAAACAATGATAAAACAATCTAAACTGATTTACCTTCTGAATTTGTTCCACAAGATAAGAAAATGATCTCAAACAATCTAAAATCATTTTAAAATTGGTTGTATATCTATATTTTCACCATGTAATTGAAGTAGAACAATTTCAATCTACATTGGTTAAAGAAAATTATACAGTAATACTAAAATGCAAGTCATAACTATGAGTTCAGTGGATTAACAGACAGATACACATTATTAGAGCATCCTGCTTGCTGCTCGCGTCTGTGCTCATCATCTCTTAGGCTAATCCATTTGCTTCTTCCATGGCAGAGAATTTTCTTTCTTGAATAACTGGAACTTGTTTCTTTGCTTCAGCTAAATCCATCTTCTTTGTGTGCACGCTTAGCCTTGCTGAGTTGGATGTATCTGCAGCTCTTCTTTCTCTAAGTAAAAATTGAGCTAGATGCACAAGTAAAGGTGCAATTGGTATATGTTTCTACCAAGCTAGATTTAGTGAGAAGGGAGGGACCGGGGATCGCTTGAGTTTCTGACATAGAACTTCGCATGCAAGCTCCCGTTTGAACTTGTGTTTGGTCTTATGTTCAGCTGTGTGCAAGGCCATTGCATCTCACATCATTTCAATGAGATTTCTCCCACTCTGGGGAAGTTGCTTGATTATAGTGTAGCAACCTGACAACTGCAAAGTAGAGGTGGGGCATGAAGGTAGGACTTTGCAAGCCGCTCCCCCTCTTTTGCTGTCCAGTTTGCACAAGACTTGCAGGTTTGGGATCCTTGAGATCCTTGAGATCCTTGAGATCATTAAGATCCTTGGGTCCCCATTTATTTGTGGTTCAGGTGTTGTGAGTTGAGAGGAGTTGAGTTGAGTTGATGTACCAACAGTTAATGATGGGGGGATTGACTCAGATAATGCATGTGTTGCCTAATTGTTCAATGTAACAATGGCTAATGCATGTTAATCCAAAATTAGTTACCTTGGGGCTAATGTTTCACCAGTGTGGGAAAGGCCATGCATTTTCATCAAAATTTAACTTCCTGCACCTGATTTACTACACAAGTAGGGATGCTCTAATTGGCTAATGCAAGTGGATCCAAAATCAAGTACCCCAGGGCTAATGTGTCACCAGTATGGGAAAGGCCCCACATCTGTGTTAAACTTTAATTTAGTGCACCTGATTTGATGCACAAGTGCAAATTTTCTGTGATTACTAAACCTACTGTGCAGAAAATTTTGGCGTTCAAACATGTGCAAGAACTGTGCAAGACCGATGTGCAAGATCTGTGCAAGATCTTGCACATCGGTCTTGCAAATCAATTGTTTTGACAACCCGAGTTATTGTGTTCCAATTGGTGCAAAAACCGTGCAAGACCAACATGCAAGTTTTGTGCAAGATCCATGCAAGTTCCGTGCAAGATCCATGCAAGATCCGTGCAAGTTCTATTCATATCTTGCACAGAACTTGCACAAATTAATTTTGAAGTTTGAATGCCATAAATTTCACAAATGTGAAATTTGTTCAAGTTAAGTGATTTTTTACTTAATGTAAAGGCTGGTACCACAAATGACAAAGTTGACAACCATAAACAAGTGTGGATGCTCTTACCTTCCTTTCCAAGGTGCATAAGCTCAACTAAGCCTCTCCTCTGACACAGTCGCATCCACTCTCTTATGGCAAAAACCATGGGTTTGGCCTGAGCACAGCAGGAATTTCAAGTACTTTGGCTTGAAAGCCCATTGTGAGGGTCTATACATTCTGTACCCTAACAAAAATCAAACAGAGATTCTTATAAGCCTTGTTCACATCCTTGTGCCTATCAGCACCACTTTACTTGAGCAAAGTAACACAGTCAAGTTGTTGGGTTCTTGTAATTCTGGCTCCTTTTCAATACCTACATGCACACTTGGACCGTTTGAAATTACTTGATCCTGGAGTTCACATTCCCTGTGATCCACAACTGTTGACATGCTAAAAGTGGTTATGCATATGACCTTGAGGAAGCTCTTCTCAATTTTTGGTGCAGTTTCATGCTGTTTTGAGCCCTCGTATTGGGAATTCAAGCAAACATACTTGGTAATCTTGCTGTGCTCAGGCCAGACCCCAGGTTTTAGTCATAAGCCCCTCTTGGAGAGCGGACATGGCTGAGTTGGAAGAGGGGCTTAGTTAAGCTTACAAGGTGCACGAGTTTTGCTTTAGGGAACTGGGACAATTACGTAGGGGTGGTCAAGATTCCAAGAACACCCCACACCAGTCTGAGAAATTTTGATGTCCTGCTCAACATGATTGTCATAAACCTACAGGGGACAGGAGCACCTATTTGGTCACTGTGCTCCAGGACAGCTGGTTTGAGGTTTGCAAGTGTTGACAATAAGCTCTCCTAATGTTTGGGAGGCTCAAGATGGGCTTGGGTGTACAATTGTCCGAGGAGACTGCTGATCGCTGACAGGGGGTCAGCTTGCAAGAGGGATTCGAACAAGCTGACGATCTGTGCGAGGGTTCCTCACTTTTACGTGAATGTGAACGTGAATTCCGGAGGAATGGTCCGGAGGGTCATCATTTCGACATGGATATAAATTGCAAGAGTTTTATCTATTCTTCAGGGATCTCAGTCTCTCCTTCGTTAATGCTGTCAATAACATCGTGGGCAGGTTGACCATCAACAGTGCAACCAACACTTTGAGCAGTACCAAGGATCTCCTTAACGGTTCCAGCCAAGTTTCGAGCCAAAGATTTGAATCTCATCTTTCGAGCAATTTCGATAACTTCATCGAGGGTCAAGTTACCGGTGTGCTTGATGTTCTTCTCTTTCTTACGGTCACGAGGAGGCTCTGGATAGTAAGGTTTCAACGTCAGTGACTGCCCAGAAGAAATCAAGCGGATAAATAAATTAAAAAGTTCCTCACCCTTGAGAGCCTTGATGACTAAGGAAGATGCAGAAGGAACGACGGCTACGGTAGCTTGTCGGTTTTGGATAGTCAACTGAACAGTGACTCGGAGACCCTTCCAATCACCGGTGGCCTTGGCAATATCTTCACCCACTTTCTTGGGGGACTAAGAAATTCATGGATTGATGAGTTGTTGGACAGTAGGTAAAATCTGAGCTGGGTTGTGACTTACGAGACCTAATGGACCGATCTTGGGAGCAAGGGCTGAAGAAGCACCGACTTCACCACCAGTGGCTCTCAAGTAGATGATCTTGATCTCATTGGGGTCGATCTGATTGATTGAGAAGTTAAGATAATGAGGGAGTTGTTCAGATGAGATAAGTCATGATATGTTTGAAATGAATGATAATCATTACTTTTGGTGGCATGATGAAGCTTTAAGTTTCTTTGATAGTGAACGTTTGGGGCCTCCGGTATGTTGGTACCTTATTCGTCACGTTTGTAATGTCGATGGGATAGAGGAAGGGGTGATGCTGAGCAAGGCGGGGAGAAAGTAAAAATTCTGAAATGAAACCTAACTAAACCTAACTCACTTGGCTGTATCACAGCTCAACCGCTAGACTACAAATTACACCCCAATCGCGCCAACATTGTTCCTCATCCATTCACATCTCAACGAAAATACCTATTCCAAGGTCAATCAACATGTCTGAATCACTTCTCTTCAAGGGTACCCTCACCGGTCACGGCGGTTGGATCACCGCCATCGCCACCTCGGCTGAAAATCCGTAAGTAAAGAACCTCGTCTTCTATGCATTGCTTTCCGAGGCTGACTTGACATTTCAATCTGTTCCTCTACTAGCGACATGATCTTGACCGCTTCCAGGGGTTTGTGACGCTTTCATCAACCTCATTTTTTCCTTTACAATTTATATCCTGCGATGCAAATACGGTCATCTACATCGTATCACCACTCCATTATCATTTAATAATATGGGCTGCTGCCATTGGCAGGACATCTGCATTTCATATTTGAATTTGCGGAGGAAGAGCTCATTCCAATTTGATTCCCTCTTTATTGCTTTATATCGTTCTATCATATCAACCCAGATAAGACGATCATTGTTTGGCAGTTAAGCCGGGAAGACGTGCGTTTGGTTTTTTCCAACAACAGTTCCTTCTGCTTCTCGTACACTATTTCATGATTTCCGTACACAAAGCCTTCAGAGGCGATTCGCTCGGCGGTTTTCCACTCATCATTTATTTTGAATCTTCTTAGGGTAACTACGGATTCCCCAAGAGAATTTTACATGGACACAATCACTTCGTCTCCGATATTGTCATCTCTTCCGACGGACAATGTAAGCTGTCTGGTTTCCAAGTATGGTCAGGATGAGATCTAACAGCGCTTTCTGCATTGTAGTCGCTCTTTCGTCTTCATGGGACAAGACCCTCAGACTTTGGGACCTGAACACCGGTCTCACCACCCGAAAATTTGTTGGCCACGAAAAGGATGTCCTCTCCGTCTCTTTCAGCGCTGACAACCGACAGGTCAGCCGATGCGCGCTTACATCAATTCTTGTCCCGTTCTGATCGATCTCCTATTCACCTAGATTGTCTCTGGCTCCCGAGACCGTACCATCAAGCTCTGGAACACCCTCGGTGAATGCAAATACGAGATCAAAGATGAAGGCCACACCGGCTGGGTGTCTTGCGTCCGATTCTCGCCAAACCCCATGAACCCAGTCATTGTTTCAGCTGGATGGGACAAGGTTGTCAAGGTGGGTCACCCAACATTTTTTGTCCTCTGTGCTGCGTTCGAGTGATGAAACAACCATACTATAATATTTGCTACTTCGGAGGGCCATCTACCCGATGAGAACAACTAAATATCCACCGAGATCTCTGACCCACGCTGCACAGACGCTTTTTATCACTCTCACCTTGCTCGGATCTAATCTCTTTATTTATCCGCATTGTTAGGTCTGGGAGCTTTCCAAGTGCAAGTTACGTACTAACCACCACGGTCACACCGGTTACCTTAACACTGTCACCGTTTCACCCGATGGATCTCTCTGTGCTTCAGGTGGCAAGGACGGAGTAAGTCTTGCGTTCAATTTGACTTCCCGTTCTGCTCGTAACGTCCTAACGTCTGAATCTTCTACTAGATCACCATGCTTTGGGATCTCAACGAGGGCAAGCACCTCTACTCCCTCGAAGCCGGTGACATCATCAACGCCCTCACCTTCTCCCCTAACCGATACTGGCTCTGTGCCGCCACTGCCTCCTGCATCAAGATCTTTGACCTTGAGAGCAAGAGCATTGTTGACGAAATCAAACCTGACTTCACCGAGATTGACTCCAAGAAGGCCAAGATTCCCGAGTGTACTTCATTGGCATGGAGCTCAGAAGGCGGTACTCTTTTTGCTGGTTACACTGACGATGTTGTTCGTGTTTACGCTGTTATGGCTTAAGAAATGCAATCTTGTGGAAAAAAACAAATCTTGTTTTACTTGCCTGTTCCCGTTGATCCTACGTGATCGTGCTGAGATTTCACCTAAATTTGAGATTAATTTCTTTCAAGTGGCCAATGAAACCTCTTGGGCTCGCGCGTTGTCCCCACCCAACCCGGATGCAAAGACTATACTCAGCGAGATTAATGCTTCAGTGGCCTTTGAAGCCTTGAGGTTACCAAGCACTGGATATTCCTGTCCTAGTACCATCGACACTCCTAGTCACAGTGCTTGAAGCAATCATAACGGCTGCAATGTCACACGCATGACGTTGAGCCCAGTCTATACCGCCATTCAGCTGAAGCTGTACAACCTACCACCACACATGCAAACCAGGATAGTTGTACTTTATAATGATACCACGTATCATTGCTAGATGAATGATATGTAGATGCAGATCTCCCTAATCTGTTCTCATGCTTCGCCTCTTGCTCGAGGAACGGAACGCAAAAAGTGTTTGATTCCCAGTGTGCTTCAATCATTCTCAAAAGCCTTATCCATTCTATGATTATATCAAATCACGCCAATTGTATTGGTTGGCTTTGATTGGCTTCTGGGTGTAGAAAACCGAAGAAAAATACAATATTTGTTAGGCTTTTCTGGTTTCCTCACAGAAGAAGCATAACATACACAATGAAATTATAAAGATTAAATTGCAGAACTCCACTCCCAATTCGACAAGAAAGTCTGTTTCTGCCGATGGAAATATCGTCAAGTACCTACAGAAGACACTGAACTGACGTTAAGGACACTGGGCTAAAATCAAGGTATTGTTCGAACCGTCAGTCGAGATATATGACTCTCTAAGTTCATCAATCTTGGCCGCAACTGTGGTAGCTTCATGATAAGCACCACCATCACTTGACATAACACAGGTTGCGATGAATAGATGGTAAACAGCAACTTGAAAACGGTCAACAGCTCAAAAGACGATGATTTTACTAAATAAGACCTTGTTGTAACGCTTTTTGAAAATAGAGAAAAGAAAAAGTTAAGTTTTTTCAAAGAATAACTTGTTAACTTGCTGAGACTTGACGATGAAGTTGAATGAATTGGAAATCTGGATGGAAATGGTAATGAGAAAAAGAATGGTAATATCGGTGGTAAACAGGATGATGACATTTTTACATGAGTGTAAAAATACAACAATGAGCCGACCCGAGACCAAAAACAATCATACTCAAAGTACCTACCAATTTCCTGATATTCCAATCAGTGAATGACAAATTACCTACAACTAAATGCCCATCGCAGCAGTATACCGTCGGTCAAATACACAAAAACACGAAAAATGTTATGTGTCTTTGTTAGTATAGTGGTCAGTACTCCCGCTTGTCACGCGGGCAACCGGGGTTCGAGTCCCCGACAGAGAGATCTTTTTGCCGGAGCAGCGATCAGCTAGATCTTTTCCCTACGGCTCTCTTTTGCTTTGATTGCAATTGAAAATTCCAGAGGAAGATAAGGTTTTTTTGCATATTTTTATGCTACAACAAAGGACAAATTGTTGTAAAATATTTTTACATTTTATAAAGCAGAACACCTAAAAGAATCAAAAATACATAGATTTTACGATGATTTTTTTAACAACTAAGCAAGTAAAAGATTGTGGAGTGAAAAGATCAGCACAGTATTGCATGGAACAGAGCTGCAATTTAAGTAAAGTTGTTCCACCACAGATGGCTGAAACGTCCAAGCCAGAAAATGCTGTGGTCCCTCCCTTGACATTGAGAACAGATCACAGTATCCAGGATTCCAGACCCTTAAACCCTTAGGAATACCAGAAGGCAAGATATCTACAAAGACGCTCGTCCACCGGATTGAAGGCCAGCTCATATCATTCAACCTTGGCCTCCATCTAGGTATGCGCCCTTGAATGCCAATCTCCATTCTTTCAGTCCGGATAGGTCAATCAGTCCAGATGAAGCTTTTATTTCCATTACATAAAAGCTCAACGTTCAGTAACCAACCCACGATACTATGGCTGACACAAGCTAGCTTACCTACGAATATGACATAGGATCCAGCACTTCTAGTGTCCTCTCCGTTGCTCACCCTCATCGGCTCCTCACTTTCCCTTCATCCTATTTACGACAACGTCTCAGACTCAGAGACGCTGAGTGAAGATACATCAATCAAATCACACCAATGTCAACCAATACCAACAAGATCAGATCAAGCAAGAATGGAGCTTCGACTTGTTAAAAATATTATATTATCAGAACTTTGGAAATCGCAAAACAGCTCCACAAGTCCGTTCTTCGCAATAACAAAAGGTTAGGCCTGCCTCAACAGTGAGTCGAACACTGGACCTTTTGCTTACTAGGCAAACACTCTACCACTGAGCTACTAAGGCCATGTATCGGTTTCTCAATAATTGGATACATATATAGAATGGTTAGGTCTACCACTGGGTCAACAGACGCGTTTGCGACGAGTTGCTGTTGAAAACGACTCGGAGAACGTCAGGCAAGTCGGTTTTTCACAGTCTTCAGACCATATTAAGTTTCTCCTGGTTTCTACATTTGAGACGTCGCGACGGTGAGCAGTATGAAAGGAAATAATTCACGCGATCGTGCAAGCTGGCGAAGTGATTGATCGATACCGACGCTGAGTGAATGACCGCGAGTAGGTTGACGATATTGGTTGCTAGATGCTGCAGTTATGAGCCTTACATTCTTTGTTGTAAAGCATGTATATGGTTGCAAGGGGTACGGACCCGGTCGTAGTTGATAATCTCGAAGGCATAAGCTTTGGGTTTAGTTGGTATTTGGCCAGGACTACGATGGACGAGAGAGGAGGGTGGAGGACAAACCCCAAACCTCAAACCCGGATACAGACTGTGCAGCCTGTACAGCCTGTACAGTTACTCAATACAGGAACCACCCTGTGCCGACTCCAGCATGAAACCGAAGAGCGACAGTTGCATTTCATGTGGATTGAAATAAGTATCAACAGTGGTAGCCATGTGGATAGATGAGATGGTATGATTAGAACTAGGTGAAGTAGAAAAGGAACGATCGTGATCTGCAGGATTACGTGGATTCATTCCAAGTCAAGTCAATTTGAATTCTCCACAAGATTTGATGAGGAGTCTTAGGAGGATTTAAAACACGATGAGTTGATTTCAAAATAGTTCAGAACCATGATTCATACCAGGTTCAAGAATCTCGAGTAAAACAGAATGAATTCAGCCATTTTGATTCCCAAATCCATTTGGTTGATGAACTTCATCATGAGGTATCTGCTCAGTGATATAGTTAACGAATCGTTGACAATTTGTTAAAGGTCTTCTTTGATTCTCAAAAGCAGTTGAGTGATTTCGACAGTTTTTCGCTGTCTTGTCTAAAAGCACCCAAGTTTCTCTACAAGTTATGATGGAACATCTTCAGCTGTAGATTAACCTCAACAAAGGTGTTCGCACGGCTCTGTAGAGCCCATACGGCTCTGTATAGCCCATACCCACCCTCACCGTTACGCTTGTCACTCATAAATCAAACTCGCCATCAAACGTGTATATTTCAAAGCAAATCTTTTTGTTTGATAAAAAGGTCAAAAGAAACCATAGTTAATACTTATCATTGTGAGTTTAATTCATTCTAGATGATTTAAAAACTTGCTTGTTATCATGATGTGATGATGAAACTGCATCTCAATTGGGAGCCGTCTGGAATCGTCTCTGGCTTCGTCTGGATTGTTTCTACGACGTTTTGGCAAGGTTTGATCAGACCTACTCGAAAATCGAGTATCTGTACAGGGCAATACAGGTTTGTGTTTTGGGTTTTGAGGTTTGTCCTCCACCCTCCTCTCTCGTCCATCGTACAGGACCCCGGAAAGCTCCAGGTCAACTATCCGACCTAAAACCACCCAAATTTACCTTTTCAATACCCTGTGACGCGGTAAAAACCCAAAAATTGAGGTCAAACAATTCCGGTTTCGTCGGTACGTACAAAGAGCAAAAATCGCTAAAATTTCCTCACGAGACAAATCCATTCGTTTTTCGTCGGTATGTACGTTGAAAAGGGAGTGTTTTTGGCCTTTTTTTCCGGCCAAAGACAAATCCATACCTGTCAGGTCGGTACGTCTGAATTCAAAAAAACGGGTGTTTGCTCGAGAAAGACCCAAAAAATTCCTTTTTCGTCGGTACGTCAGCGTTTTTTTGGACCCTCGATCCATACATTTTAGGTCGGATAGTTTACCTGGAGCTTTCCGGGGTCCTATTTGGCCACACTTTGGGGGAATGTCAAGGGGAATTCAAAAGATTCCCGTGATAGTTTTGAAAGACTCCAGTTGTCCCCATAGGTCTCCATTCCAGTTTCACTCAGCTGTTGTGTACTTTGGCTCATCGCAGATCATCAATCACACGCGGCCGATGAGCAACTGTACATTAGGATCGTACACTCAGTTGAAGGAAAGGCCAGATCCGCCTCTTCGAGATCAATCCTGGCCTGTCATTCGTGCCTCGAGGCTAGCTATATTAGTATAGCAGTATTTGTCTATGAGATAGTCGACAAGTGAAGTCAGCAATTATGATAAATTCAACTCGTCTGCTATGAGGTGTGCCTCTGTCGCTTGCTTGATTTCACATTGCCAGTCTCCTTATTCTTCGGCATTTTCCTTTTCAGGTCTAAAGGAGTCTCTGAGGTTGAGTTCCTAGTCAGCACATTAATAAAGATATACCCCTATTATAAGCCGTGGTTATTACCAAACTCTTGGAATGATGATGGTGACATTTTTCTTGATCTTCACTTTCCTCGGTTCAACGTAGGCTTTTTTCCATCTTTCTTTCCGGTTCACGACAACCAACATGTGATAATGTCTTTCTTATATTTCATATGCATCACACAGAGCTTGTAGGCCAGCTCGGCCTGGCAATAATACCAACCCGTGTACTAGCCCAGCATGTCTGAGTAGTGTTGTCGTCTTTGGTGCTTCTTATTGTGGTTCGTATTGATAGACAATCTTTCAACATATCAACAACTCTTCTCATACAGTCACATCTCTTTCTCGATTTGCTTTCATTTTCACAGACTCCAGCCACGCACAGAAAGGCTATCCATATTCATCAGGAAGGGTGTCAAACGGGCTTGTTTGGCCAGAATACCTGGCGCATCAACTCGATGCTCAGCTCTATGATTATGCGTAGTAAGCTCCCTTGTTCAGATTTTCTTCAGATTCTTACTAGATATTGATCCAAAAATCTCAATGCTATCAGCGCAGGGGCAACAGCTGGATCGGATAATGTACCCAATACTGCTCGGCAAATGGAGAAGTACATCTCAGATCTACAAAGTGGAAAGACTCATCTTGGATCAGGTCGTGTGTTACATATTGTTTGGGTTGGAATCAATTCTATTAATGAAATTTGGCAGGAGGGAAAAGGTGAAGCAGCTCTTGAAGCGGAGGTAGGAAGGGTTCATCAACAACTGAAATGGTTAATAAATCATCCAGAGTTGAACAAGCAAATGTCGGTGATTATCTCTCCATTTCAAAGCTTGCTTTAGAAAAGCACCACATACTATACGTGGATGAGTGAGAAAAACGCTCACCGAATTTCCTGATCGGGTTTGTGTTTCATCAGGATTTTTGCTGAATTCATCGTCATCACCATTCCACCACTCGAGCTTGTCCCAAATTCAGTTCAATTTGCTTCTCGATCTAAGAATCCATTGGGATCTTTAGACAGAGTCAAGGATTTAACAAGCACTTACAACCAGGTCAGTAAGCCTCGAAAATCTTGACAGATTTTTCTCCGACCGTTTCATTCCTTCATATAGTGAACACCAACATTAATGATAGACAACTTATTGAAATTTTACAGGGCTTAATGAAATTGCAATCAGATAAGATCCGAGTACTGGATATCGTTCCCTTTTGGTCAGACATTGCAAGCAATCCAAAAGAAGTAAAGTTCTTTTATGATCTACTCCATTTTACATATAACCCTTGATCTCACCTTTTCTGACTTGCTACCAAATTTATAAACAGTATGGATTCGCACACGTCAAAAAAGCGTGCCTAGGAGGAGGCAAAGTGTGCCCCAATCCTGTGGCCTACATGTATTGGGTAAGCACTTACCATCATTGTTATAAGTCTATTTGAAGGAAGAGAAAAAAAAGGTATATTAACACATGTCACGATACTATAGGATTCTTTGCACCCCACAACCACAATGCATGAAATCATTGCAAAACAGGTGCATGGGTATCTAGAAAAGATAGTGTAATTAATGTTAGTGAAATGAAACCTTGTCATCATCCTTCAAGTTTTGTCTCTTGACTGAAAATTTCTTTACCTTGCTTTCCTTCAAACTCTACATTGTAGGATAAACCCTTAAAATAATTAATGTCATACTAGAGTCTGATTTGTATAGGACAAATGTCATATCTTTGTGTATATCTGTTTGTTGGATTGTAATACTTTGTCCATATGAAGACATCACTTTCTTTTTAATAACAACTTGGAAGGATCTCTAATTGGATGAAGAGTTGTTTTGTGGTGGTATGTATAATTATTCATTTATTGGTCTTTGAAATTTGTACTTAATCTTGATGTCAACACTAGGGAGGTTTGGATTGGAAACACCTAAAATAAATCCGTACATGAAGATGCTACTTAAAATTTCTAAATTTTCAAAGAACTCTGAGAAAGATAATCATGTAGTCACTCTTTCCGTAGGTAGTCAGGGTAGTCATTCCAAATTGGTTCTAGCTTCACCTTACAATCACACATCATGTGACAATGGCATACCAGGCAAGCTACAATAGATTATTGTATGCAGGTGCCATTTCTTCTCTTTTCTTTTCACCTCATCTCTCAAAGTTTGAAACACAAGTCTTTCCAGATAAAACCTGATATACTTTGTTCAAAGTGAACTTTTTCAAATGAAAAGGCAAGATAAAGATTCTACATACCTCAATCTAAGTGAAATTAAATTAAATCCAGCAAACCCAAAAATTCATCTCAAATTTCAAAATAGATATGTATGCCATCACAAAACTTAAATGCCTTTATATACACAACATGCACTGTTCACATTAATCCTATGTATGTACATTATGTACAAAATAAACCCATCTCTTATAAACTCAAAACATACATTCTATTTTGTACAATCCAAACCAAAAAAAATGGTTCCCCAAAAACCCCTTCCTAAACTTTCCATTAAAATTCAAAATCATAATCCCATTATTTTCCTGTAAAACGAAAGATCCAAAGATTCAAAAAAAAATCAAGATAACAAGAAACCTCTAATCGTAATCATAGGTTCAAGATGAGTAACAATTTCTTTAGTTCTACCTACTCCCACTCCAACACCTCCAATCAATTTCTTACTACTCACTCCAACACCACCTTCTTCACTTTCATCACTGAAATAATCAGTTTTATCATAAGCTTCTAATAAACCAGTTCCACTTCTAATAGGTAGATCATTTAATTTCACTTCAATTTCATCATCATCTTCATCTTCATCAAGTCCTTCATTTGTCATCCTTCTATTCCGATTTCGATTTTGATACTCTTGTGTAATCGTATGATTTGTTTCTGATCTTGTCATTCTCATTGCTTCTCCTGCATTACAAATTTCTTGTACTCTATTCAGATCTAATCCAATATCTCCAAATAATTCTAATACGTAACGTCTTGTTAATAATCTATATGGATAGTTGGCTAAAATCGTTAATGCTCTATGAAACAAAGCTGGATCTTGAAATGTTTGCCGATGTTTAAGTTTAATCCTATATTATCAAAAAAAAATCCAATCATAAACCAAAAATCAACTCAAAATCAACTTTTTGATTTATCTATCAATCCAATAACTTAACACTTTCAAAAAGAAAATCTACATACCTTGCAAGAGTTCTCGATGAATTATTAGCCAAAAGATGATTACTCAAATTAGCAACAGCTACTAAAATCTGACGATGTAAAGTTGAATTGAATTCAGAGTAATGAATTAAATCGGGTAATGGTTTCTTTTTAAGTTTCCATGTCGGATTCACAATAAATTCATTTAATCTTTCAGGTACACAGATTCCGGTTAACGTTCCTAATGGTGTTTGAACGGATTTCCAACCTGAATCACTTAATAATTCGGATCCTTCTAATGTCGATGAAATCAAACCTAGAATATAACAACATGTTCTACAAAACAAAATCATTCAAAAAGTATAGTCAGATTCCTTTGTCAAACCACCTTCAGTCTGAAATAGAAACTCAAGAAAACTAACCCTCGAACAGAAAATACATTACTAGTCTCAGCAATTCCAGCAATCTCATCAATCACACCTTCAGGTTCCAGAAATGTTAAACCACCAGTAGATGATCCGATATTTCCAACCGCCCAAAGTGCTGTCTTTAACTCAGTGATCACTTCTAAATCGGTTTCTTCTAATCCATGTTTTCGAATCGTATCAAGAAATGTTTGGAAATGTCCCTTTGATCTTAAAAGTTCTCTTCCTTCTTCTGTCTTCACAAGTTCACCGTAGAAGTGTGGCGGTGGTGTTCCATCCGCACTGGCTCTAAGGTCGAATAAAGTGTTATGGTACATGAGATTTCTACTCTAAAGAACAATCGGAAATATCAATGAATTCTCTTACATTAGTTCTTCATCTTCTTCATCTCTTGTTCCATCCGCATTCAACACTTTGGACAAATACATCTCAAGCTGTATCACATAGTCTCTATTACGCTCCTTTTAGTGGTACACAGAGTGTTTGAAAAGAGTTGGGTAGGTAAGATGTCATTACTCGGCAACACATTCGAAAGAAAAAAAACGTTGACTAACCCTATACCATTCATCCATCTCTCGTTCAGTCCAATCGATTTCCTTCAAATACTTTGCCCCAACCGAAGTAGAAAGAAATCTACAAATAAATGAAACCATATCAACAAAGATTCACTTCTCACTTTATAAAACCAAAATCAAAGAAACCCCCCCAAAAAAAAGAAAAATCACACAAGAAAAATACAAACCTTAATAATAAAGGAGCACCAACCTCACCCAAGTTTTCTAATGCAGGTCTCATATTCACCACAGTTTCCAAAACTTCAATCGAACCTGTACAAACTTCTTCTAAGATCTCGACTGCTAAACCACAAACTTCGGGTGAAGGATCATAAAGTTGAGTGATCAAAAGTTTAATTAACCATCCGATCCCTCCTGCATTATTACTTAAATGATGACTTGAAGAAGATTGATTTAAATCCAAACGTGAAATTAATTTTTCTAAATGATGAGTTGAAAATAATCTAACATGTTTTACAGTAGAAGTAAGTGCTTTAGATAAAACTAATCTACAATGTCCATTACTATTTTTCTCAAAATTTCAAAAGTACAAAGAAAGAGGTCTTCTTCATTAGAAATTCCTTATTCAAAAAATCAAAGATCCAAAAAAATTGAAAAAATTTAGATTACTTACATTGAATAATCAATATTCTCAATCACTTCTTTCATCAAATCATCCCTACTTCTCATCTCACATAACGCATAGAATGACGTGAAAATCTTACATTTCTCCATAAGTCTATACGAATATATATTATTTTCATGAAAGTTCAATCAAACAAAATCTTAAGTTAGATCGCAAAACAAAGCACAAAAAATAAGATACTCGTATAGAAAGTTTATCTTAACTTGATTCCTTCTGGATATCGACTCAAAGTACCAAGCATTTCAAAATACCCATGTGCCAATGTATCTTCAACCCGAGCTTGAGAAAACAAAGAATCGGCTTGTGAAGTCGTTCCAGAATGCTAGCAAAGATTAAATCGGCAAAAAAGAAAGAGATGATAAGAAACTTAAAATTCAAAGAAACCAAAACTGATGATGATAAATCCACATACCGGATCTAATTGTCTTAAGCCTAATCCGATTTGATCCACCAACTTGTCTTCAGTTAAAAACCTAACACCAACCGAATCACTCAATAAAGTTTGAAGTGTAGAACAAGCCAATTTAGTATACTTTGAAGTATGCTAAAAGAAAAACAACAAGTTTAGTAATGGTCTATGAAAGAAAGACCAAATCGAATCAATTCACTAACTTTAGTTCGTTTGATATAAGGATATCTTCCTTCAAATGGATGTAAAAACCCAAGTACTCGTTTCATAATCTTAGTACTTCTAGTCAATTCTTCTAATCGTTTAGGATTCATATAAAGTGTACCTTCCATAAGTTCCAATAGTTTTTCAATATTCCATCGTGTATGATCTTTAGTGACAAGCACTTGTGTTTCAATTACCAATGCTCGGAAAGTAAAATCATCAATGTTGATTAGATTGATTCGATGCCTAGGGTCAGTCCAATGCAGCAAACGAGGTGCTGGTGCTGGTTCTGTCCCATTATTACCACTCCCGCTTCCACCGCCACCGCCACCGCCACCAGACCCACTCGCAGCTCCAGAGGCTGTCGACGAACTTCCACCCGTGATCAAACTCAGGCCACTACTCAAGCCGCTCACCGAAGCGCTAGCTCCAATATTTGAAGCCAAACTACCCTTGACCGATACACTTTCTCCGAGACCGGTAGTGTTTCCACTCCCACTTCCTGCTCCAGCTGTAGAGCTTAAGGTCACAGGAGTGAGCCCAAATGCACGAAATAGAGATATTTCGTCTACAAACGCAGAGTTGGAAGCTGAGCGATGTCGGCCTGAAAGGAATGGTGAAGCCAATCGTTGTTTGGTCCGATGTAGACTATCAACCTCTCGAAGTGCAGCTGTACCTGTAGACCGGTCTTCACGTAATTGAAATGATGCAGCTAGTTCAAAGAGTCTAGGTAATGATTGTATCCGAGTACCATAATGAAGAGGTAAGACTCGGTTGGACAAGTCTAAGATCTCAGCAATCAATAAAGAAGCTTTTTTTCTGACTTCTGAGGCTTTCTCCAATGAAGATTGAGCGGAACGTAAAGTTGAAGGAAGAATGTTTTCGGCAGGAGGTTTTGCTTCAGTAATTTCAATCAATGTTTCCAAAAGATTGACATCGAAAAAGACGAGAAGAATGACCGCAAGAAAATGTTCGACTAGTGTGGCCCGTTCGGAAACCTTTTCGGGCGCTTCTTTCGCAGGTTGCTGGGTATGACCTGGGTTGAATTGTTGACCAGGTTTTTGATAGTCTTGAAGTCCAATGACACAAAGTATGTTATGAGAGTCAATTAGAGCTGTCTAATAGATGATAAGGTCATATGATAGAAACGGAAAACGTACAAGTCAATCGTTTACCAGCCATGAAAGTGCTATACCAAGTTGAAGTCTTAATTTGAAATATTTCAAATAATGCACTAAGTAAAATAAGCTAAGAATTATAAAAAAGTATTAGTATTGACTACGAATGGGTTGATTCTTGATAACGCACCCGTCAAGAAGAAAGGAAAATGTAGATCGGACGCACTCGAACACTATTTGAAGGTACTTTCAATGACTGTACGTACATCCGAAGTGAGTGTTTATTGTTTAAGCATAAAAACATTAAACCTAGAGTAGCAAAAGAAGTCAAATTTACTCATGTCAGAAACAGATTGGAACATATGACCTTGGTGAACAAGTGTGGAAGGTAATAAGAGGACAAACCAGTCCATGACTTCATTAAAAACACAATCAGACGAGCACTAGCCCGTACCCGTTCGTCATGCGCTTGTGAAGAAGCAGCTCCCGCCTCAGTGATTCCAGCCAACGCGATCTGGTTCAAGGATTCATCTCAGTCTAAAGTTCATCATCATCAACACAAAGAGTTTTAATCCAACAAGATATTAAATCTCACCTCAAAATCCACACCAGGTCTAAGATATTGACGAAACATTGGACGATCGACCATTGCCATGATTGTTGCAGCAAGATAAGGTGCTAAATCACTAGAACCGATCCCTCCATCGGTTAAGCTGCTCATCAAAACTTTGATACCATCTGATTCAGCTAATAGACCAAAATCGCGAACCACTGAAGCGAGAATTGAAAAGGAAATGGATTGTGATCAATAACTTTCGATGGTATAGATGTAACTAATAGTTTGACTCACTCAATTCGCCTAATGTCTCAATGGCTAACTGCCGAAGTTTTTCTTCAGAAGTTTCTGCTATTGCTACTATTGCTCGAACCAAGCCAGTGGTCATGAAAGTTTGACAATTTTTATCCATCATGGAACGTATAAAGACAAGAGCTTGTTGTTTTTCTACTTCATGTCTATTATCCCTGGATAAAGATCTAAAACGAAAACAATGGTAAACCAATATAAACTTTGATTAAATGATCGAGTTTTAAGAAGAAGTTTCTTGCGGATCTTCTTACTTGATTAGAAAAAGTTCTACTCTCATTTCACGTAAATGATAAATATCATCTTGTGTATGGATCGAATATCGTAAGAGTCTATATGCTTCTGCACGAAGTTCGGTAGGATGAGAATCGGCCAACGAATTCAATGCACTATTTCCACATGATATCGTAAGCAAAAAAATCCCGAAAATTAAAAGATCAAAAAAGTCAATCAATATCAAATTTCAAGTTAAAAGATCAGAAAGGCTTGTGAAATTGAAATTGATTGAAAAAGAGAATAAGACAAACACCTTAAGAAATTCAAAACAATCAAACTCCATAAAATCCCAATATGTTTTCAAAATCCCAGATAATTTTCGTATCATTCTTGAATCATTTTGATTAGATGATTTAATCTCATTAAGGATGTTTTCAATTTCATTTTTTGCATTTTCTTTATCTTCTAAATGATTTTAAAATTCAATTCATTGTTGAAATACACTTTTAGCCAAACTCTTATTTTCAAAAACAAAACATCACGTCAATCAATCAAATTTGCTTACCATTTGATGGTACGAAAACAACTGAATCTTGAGTTGGAAGAGATTTCATGGTTGGATTGGGTCCATGTGTGTTACCCGCATTCACTGTAGCATGAGTCGTATTCTGTAATCGCCTTCTTCCTTTCCGAGGTGATCCAGCTAAATGATGTCATACAACAAAATCAATGATGAATTTATATTTAACAAATGAAATGATTTTCAAATTCTGACCTGTAAGAGCTTCTAGTGCTTCGATTTCTCGTACCAGTATCTTTACATTTCGATTAGCAAGATCAAGTTCAGCTTCAACAGATGCTTGTAATTGACTTGGACCAGTTCCAGCTCCACCAGTAGTATTCGAAGAAGAAGGATCAAACGCTTGACGTTTATTAGTTGTTCCAAGAGTCCCAGTTGAAGCAATCAAACCTTGACCAGCACCAACTTGATGAAGTAAATTTTCTGCACCACGTTGGATGGCTTCTGCACGTTCCAATCTAACTCTTAAGATTTGAAGTTGTTCTTTTGCCGTTTCTTTTGATGGTGTGGTGATACCTGTTATAGATTGTTGAATGTAAGAAGGTGGACCTGAAGGTGTTGTTAGTTGATCTGTTGAGTTTGAGTCGAGGTTTGACCCATTCAGATTGGTAGTGATCATAGTAGTTAAATGTGGTAGTAAATGAGGTCTTTCCATGAAATTTGATTTATTTTCAACTCCAACCCGATGTTCTCTGATGGTTCTGTTCTGATAGGTCTGTTCCGATGGTTCTATTTGATTGATGAGTCTGATGAACCTGATAGGTGGGTGGTGAGTGGTGAGTTGATGGTGATGGCGATGACAATGGTGTGAGAGTGTTCAGTGAAGAAATCGATTGGATGCTGTGCTTAATTTCAACTTGGATTTAGTGTTAAGTATCTTAAGTGATTCGACAATGACATCCTTTCAAGTTCCATCAAAACAACACTATCGCGCTCACCTTTGCTTTTGTGTCTCTCACTTGTTGTTAAGCAGGATATCACGGCAGGGTTAATAACATATCCTGTTGAAGCATACGAACTTTGACCTCTCTGGCACTTGCCCAAGCCTCAAACACTCTTCATGACGCGGCTGAATAAACAACAAATGACCTTGCTACCCAAATAGATTTTGCAGGGGTTAAGCTAGAGAGTTTTCACAAAAGGAGTTCATATCCATTTAACAAGATAAAAACCAATTATATATTCCTTATCGAACCATGTTTGGATCTCGGACTTCAAGTTGAATGAATCCATTGAAAGGTTTTCATCAACATATATCTCTTGTTGATTTATCATCCTGCTATCTGAAGGTCTCACATATCAAAGAAAGGGAAAATATTCCAACAAAATACGTATCTTGAAAAGGTGGGACTCCGTCTCCCTTTGTCAGAGTTGATCAAATTCTACGCAAGCTTCTCCACCAAAGTAAGGTGTGGCTTAAACTTGATTATAATTTGATAACCCCTCATGTCAAGTGACTTACTCAAATGCTGTTTAAACTCTCTTGAACTTTCAGGAATTAGAGATATAGGAAGACCTTTGACATAAACTTTCAATCATTTTGAAAACTCTGAAGATGTAAAATTAAATGAATGCGAATGTGTTGTTTGGGTTATGACTCTCTCTCTTTTTCTCTCTTAGCTCACAAAGCAAACATTGTGCTTTGTTTTTCAATTCTAATGATTATCAAGGGTGATCAGGGATATGAGTGAATGGTATTTTTATAGAGGCAAAAATTTTAGACTGATAGGATGATGATGCTCACAAGTGAAGCAGTGAATGATATCTTGTTAGACATTGGGAGTTAGAAGTGGAGGATGATGAATGAAGACAATTTGGAGAAAGTGATGAGCTTTTATACAATTTTTTTTCCCTCCAGTGTGTTTGAGAATGGCAAAAGTTTGGCAAGATGAATTGTTCCTGTTGAGCTCATCACTATATCGAATAACGCAGACCTAAATACCAGCTAAGATAACAGACTTGAAGAATATTGATCACACAATCAAAGCCTTGAGGTTTATTCTGGATCGACTAAACTCATATCATTACTTACACCCGCTACGAAACCCTTGATGATGTTTTCAAAAATACTGACTCTGCTTTATATCACGCACATCCTGCCGTTGGCTCAAAAAGAGTCGCGTTGGCTCGGAAGGAATTCCAAACTGATTTTAAAAAAATTGGGTATTTCCAATGCTCACTTCACTCATGAGCTTATCAAGTCCTTTGGCCAAACACCACCACGGTCAAAGAACATGGACCACTCAAGTCACTGGGATCTCAGATCCAACTGTGAACCATTCATCAACTTCCAAGGTCTACCTCCTTTCTCGTGTTTGCTGAGCCATTGAAAGGTCTGTCACCATAGTTCAACAGTATGTGCTATTGAAGGAATTTTTCTACCCGCACGTCGTCTCATTAATCGTTCTTGGCATTCGATTGGAGGATCCAAGTCAAATCAGGATCCTTTTGTTTTTGCAAGTTGAGAAAATCAATAAGGATCCGAAACCGATCTGACCCGTGATTCACCTCGGTCCTGCCTGATCCGAGTACATCCCGAGCACATCCTATCCGCTATACGGGTCACTCTCGAAACCCGAAGAGAAATGAAAACCCTCGAGTCGCGTTGTGTTAAACCTACCTCGCGTCTGAGACAGAATCATCTCAACTGAATTTTTCCAGCTTCTCCAAAATTATCTACATACCTTTACACCAAAACAATGAATTATCATAAATTCAAAGAAAATCGAAGTCATGTTCCGATTATGGAGATGCCAATCAATTGGACCAATTTTTTAGATGGAGTAGATGATGCAGAATGTAAGAAAGCGTTTTTTAAATTAATCTTATAACTTTTTGAAACACCCTACTAATTGAATATCGTTTTGGAAATTAGTTGAATCTTTTATTGGATTAGTTGATCATTTCACTGGTCGTAATATGATCCCACGTCCGTAAGTTTAAGAAAGTCATTATATTGGATTACAGATGTTCAAGACAAGATTGTTGAAGTCTTTCGAATCTGGTTTTTTGTTTAGGAAACAAATCCTACAATTGATTGCCATCATCATCGATCCTGTTCGATGTTTACCTACCCCACCACGTTCTTCAAATCATCAAATCGATCCACTTACAGTAACACCGATTGCTTTAAATGCTTTTGCTTATCTTGCTTCACTTATAAGAGTGGCTGGATCAGATTCGATTCTAAGATGTCTTCCAGGTTATGATTTAGATTCAGAAGTCATAATAGATATTGAAAACGATACAAGGATTCCTAATCCTAGACATACTACAACAGAAGAGATTTCATTCACAGGTGAAACTGAGTCACCTTTACTTTTAATCGTGGTTCAAATCCTCAAGGAAAGAAATCTTTGGAGTTTATTATTTAATATTGAATCTTTATCTGAAAGTTCTTTAAAAACTATAGATAATCTAAAGCTTGATGTTAAGATTTCTTCTGGTGCTTGGGATTTATTAGGTTTATTAACTTTAGCTTGGGAACTTGATTATAAACTTGATTATAAACTGGATCAAAAACTTGATATTTCAGATATAAAACCACTTGAACTAAATAACAGTGATCACTATAATATGCTATCATACTCTCCTCATCTTTTACGTCAATTTACTAAAGGACCTGGTGGCAGCCGAACCATCGATAGTCAGTTACTCAAAATCATCTTTTATCCCTTTTCACCTTCTGGCGCTTCTGGAAGTTGTGTTTGGGGAAATGTTGTCAACAACCTGGAAGAGGCCAGGAAGGTGTCAATTCGGCTATTAGGACTGGTGAGTACTAGAAATTCATCAGCCTTTTATACTGAGGTTCATACTGAATTTGTTTTTCGATTTACTTCTTGGGATTAGCTTCAAGATCTTGATGCTGCTGGTAAACTAGATCAGGGAAGCTTAATTCAAGAAATGAGCAGTCATATGATGACCATCTCCGATTCACCTACACTTCAAACTTTCATCAACGTAAGTTTTCTGAATTCCATACCAAGTCAAATGGTGAATATAATCTGATTGTGTCTTTTGATCTTGACTTCACTGCGACTTCTTTACCAGCGTTTACCGGCACATCACCCGAAATTCAATGCTAATCTAACATTAGCATTCTTTTTATCAATCACCCGATCAAAACCTATTTCCAAGACCGGTCTCACACGTACCGATTCACAAAGTAGTCTTTCATCTCGAGGTGGTGCTTCATCCGGAGGTTTTTCAAGTTCATCAAGTTTAAGACGTAACACATCTCAAGCTCGACTTACCTTTGCAACCGAGAGTTCACAGACTTCAAAGTTATTTGATTTTCCTTCATTAGACTATCTTGCTTCTCAAGTATTTGGTAGAATGCCAATGGAAATGGTAGCCATGGAAAAATCAAATGTGAAATATAATGGAATCTCAAAAAAGAAGTTTGCAGAAGTTGAAATAAGATACAGAACGGTTTTACTATCACTTTTGTCTTACGTCAGATCTGTGTTCTCAATATCATCATCATCAAATTCAAAGGACGATCAAGTTGATGAAGAAAATGAATGGAAGAAATCAATTAAAGATGGAAAAGTTTGGAAAGCCTTGATGGAAGCTCATGTGACGATCTTAACACTTGAAGGGTCTTGTTTAGGTGGAAATCGAGAAGATTGGAATGAAGATGTGAGAAAAGAATTAAATTTATGTAGGAAAAGGTTTGAGAGGTGTTTAGAAACGCTTAATTTAAATGCTTAATTTCACTGAATGGAACATCTTATGCTGTATATTAATTTTGTAACTCTTTGTTTTCATTTGTATGTGTCCTTTGTTTTGTTTAGTCATGAAGGTTTTGAATAACATGTTGTGATGAAGTGAAAAATGAGCAAAGTGATGACTCACTTAAACTCTAAGCCTGACCAGGTGCTTAATATCAAGACACTGAGTCCATCCTTTTTTGAAACAACTGAGAAGACTTTTTACATCACACTTGAGCTGGACTAACAGGTAGATCATTTCTTGGTGATCAATTACAACCATGTCCTCTTCCTGAATAATCCAATGGGTTCATCTTCAAACACTTCACAAAGATCTGGTTTTCTCTTCTAGCCAAACATAGCACTATATATCATCATTTATATCAAAGCAGTGACTAAGAAAGAAAGTGACTTCACCAGTTTTGTCCATTCATTACTTTTGATCACGTTTCAAATGTACAATTCAAGTTTATAGATCTCCAACTCACAGGACAAATTCAAAATCATTGATAACTTTGAAAAGAGATGATTGAAGGAGCTGATCAAGAAAGGATATATTCCTAGTACATACCAAGAAGTCACAGCTTCAGCCAAAGTGATGAGATGTCTATGTATGAATTGACTGTCTACTCGTCATTCATATATATATATATATGTCACTCAACTTTTATTACTAAGACATAACTTGTCTAAATCATTCTTCAATAATGTTTTTATTAAGTCTGGGATGAGGGTTAAGTACAAAATTATTAAGGATTGGTAACTTTAAAGAAAAAAAGTGTATTCTTGGGCTTTTTGCTACTGCGAATCTTGAAAAATTTATACAGTCACACATTATTAAAGTTTTTGTTTACAAGTATGAGGAGAGAAAGATATGATGAAAGCCTCATCCTTGACTCTTCTAGATTGAGAATTCCACCTTCGAAAGCTAAAGAGAGTCCAACTTTTTTTTGTAAATCAAAAACGATTAAACCGATGTTTGATGTTAGGCTTCATTTGAAATCTCATTCTCAATTGTAGTTTGAGCTTGACCTTCAGCTCTTTAAAAGTCAAAAACATTCACTTATCATTCCCATATCAAGACTCAAAGTTAGAAAAAAGAACATGCAAAAGAATCTCAACTTACCTAATTTGTTTAGCCCAAAGTTCTGAATAAATCCCTTTTTGTTTCAATAAATCTGAATGACTACCTCTTTCAGCAATCTTTCCTTTATGCATCACCAGGATTAAATCAGAATTAACAATAGTCGAAAGTCGATGTGCGATTGCAACTGTTGTACGATTCTTTCCAAGTTTTTGTAATGCTAATTGGATTTCTCGTTCGGTGGTTGTGTCAAGTGCAGATGTGGCTTCATCCTGATGAGAAGAAAAAAAACAGAATATAAGTCAATGTACTAGTTAGTCTTCTTGGCTTTCGGTATCGTCCAAAGCACAAGCCCATAAGCATCGATCAGCTTGAAAAACTTACCAAGAGGATAACTGGTGGATTCCGAATCATCACCCGGCTTTCATCATTATGAAAAGAAATTGACATGAGTTTCCTTTTCTGTTGGCGTTCATGATAGATGATTGGATTTGTCTCACGCAATGGCAACTCGCTGTTTTTCTCCTCCTGACAGTCTCACGCCTCGTTCACCTACTCGAGTTTCATAACCTTCCGGGAAAGACCTAAACCAGATTACGCACAGAACTCTAAATAACTGAGACCTGATTTCAAAAGAAGCAAAGACAAACATTATGCGCTGATGAATCTGAGCCGCTGTGGCAGCTTCGATCACGTCTTCCATGGTTGGTCCGTCTGGTTTCATTCCGATGGCACCATAACCAATGTTATATCTGGTTTGGTATCGTTAAAAGACAGGGACGCAAGTTAGTGTTGAAGCATCTCTCCATGTGGATAGCACCGGAAAGCGCAGACCTGATGGTGTCGTTGAACAGAGCGGCATCTTGTGGCACACTGCCAATCTGGTTTCGATAACTCGATAGTGTCAACTTTCGGATATCGGTACCATCGAGAAGAATGGATCCACTAGTAGGGTCGTAAAACCTGAATAGTAACCTGAGTAACGTTGATTTACCACTTCCACTTTCGCCCACTAATGCCACAGAGGAACCTGGTGGGACTGTGAAACTAATGTCCTCGAGCGCAGTAGATGCCCCGTCGTAAGAGAATCCCACGCGATCAAATACGATCTCACCCTTAGCTCCCAAAATCGTCATCGCGTCGGGAGCATCTTCAATTTCTTTCGGTTCAGCTAAAAGCTTCATCAGATTGTCCGTATCTGTTTTGTTCGGTGCAAGCAATCAAAGACTGAGTATCCAAGTGGGCTGCGCATGTTTGAAATTATAAATTGATACTTGGAAGGCGAGGACTAACCAGTCAAATTCTGTTGAATTACTCGATAAAGAGTTCCTAATTGGTTCAAGGGCGCAACTAGTTGCGCAAGATACTGTTGATGTATAGCGGTCAAGTTAAGATGATGCCATCAGATGAAGCAGATGAGGCAGCTTTAGAGCATTGCGAAGTTATCTTACGAACCGTAACAAATAAAACAAAGTCTCCGACCGTCTTCTCCCCAATGCTGACTTCAAAAGCAACAGTAAAACACCCAACCAGAAGCGCGACAGCAATGATTGCGTTCTGGGACCGGAAAATGATAGAGCATTTTTCGTACAACTTTAGCAAGCTGATGAATGCCTTACAACATGAAACAAGATGACTCACTTGGACCATATTTAGCAAATAGAGCGAAGATGTGACTAGAAATTCTGAGCGTTGATAATCAATGGTCGCCTCCAGGTAACGCGTAGTCTCAAAAGTCTTGGTATTGAACCATGCGATAGTTTCCTGTACGTATTGAGATTTGAACAAACTGATAGGTATAACGACGTTTTGTGAAACCATATCGGACGTAATCGGATTGGCGGCTTACCCAGTTCAACAGAGAGTCACCTTGGATTCCACGGGTGTATTTATCTGATCATCCAAACCTAGCCATCAGACAGAGCATGATAATCTCGCGAGCAATCTAGTGAAGTACGCACCTTTGTCTACCATTTCTCTTCGAATAGTTGTCCTCCACTGTGTGAGTATTACAGAGGCGGTCACGTATCTTTGAGATGAGGAAAATATGTCAAGATTCAAGGATCAAAAAAATGTAAGGAAGATGAGCTAACGCAATCATCACCAGCAAGATAGTGGTGGCCAAGATAACATCAAATCGAAATGCAATGATTCCAACAGCAATGACGATATCCAAGAAGATCGGGACCTAAGTGAAAACCATCTGGTAAGTGACTCTGAACATGAAGACAAATACTACAAGCTTATATCAAATGCACTGACCAGACTAAAGAGGAGTAATTGAAAGAACTGATTAATAGCGGAGCCACGATCGAGGATCCTGAGAACCTCGGCCGTTTTGCGCCGAGTGTGATATGATAGCGAAAGGTCGAGAAGATGCTGTGCAGATCGCAGAGTTATGTGAATGGGATATTCACTCGAGAGACAAAAAGTGTGCTGGTTGAACTTACCTTGAAAGATAACATGGACATCGCGCGATCTGAATACTATTCCGATGACAAATGAACGAGTAGGTGTCAACTTTATGCAAAAAGTAGTCAAACTTAATGAGACCCACCTGGGCTACCGGTATCCATAAATTTTGTTGGATCACTGAGACAATTCCACCTGAACCTTGTAAGAAACGTAGACCGATATAAAGCCCTAGGTGTAGCCAGGGCCAAGCTCCTGATGTAAGATCTTCGACTGCCTGACCAAGTGTCATGGGAACAAGTAAGTTGACACCGCGCCCTACGAGTAGGCAGAGGAGACAAAGTAGTGCCACAAGCTGAAGGGTTAAAGATTGTTTGGGCCATAGGTAAGGAAATAAGATCTTGACTCGGTGTAACATCTTGAGAACTCCCGTTGGTTTTGGAGGTTCCCGAATCTGGGCCTTTGTACTGAGCACATTTCCATTTGGCTGAGCTTCACTGGCAGTACCGAAGGTTCCATAGGCTGATTGCGTGGTTGGAGCAGTTGGGAGTGAAGCCAAGGGCATGAAATACTTATGATAAAGTAAGGGTGTGTGTAACAAGCCCAGGAGCGTGATGAACATGATTCGGAGAACAGATATTATTAGGTGAACCAAGTTGTAGGTGTTCAAGTTATGCGGCAAAGCGTTGGACTGATAACCTGGATCGATCATCGATAATTGTGAAAGTTAGACTAGAGTTTTGAAGCATGAGCAGCGATCAAAGCCGTTACTGACCTAAAGAAAAGATCTTGACCACCAAAGCGGTCAATGCAATCTCTCCAAGCCAAGCTTGGGCCACAAATAACCGAGTATAGACCTTGCCCCATCCACCTGGCTCTTTTGTGGCGCGTTCTTCCATGCCCATTCCAACGACACATGCCACAAAGGCCACAAAACAGCTGGTCACATACCAATCTAAACCATGCCAAGCCAGCACGTCTGTAGGTTCCCATACTTTCTCAAGCACGGCTCGTAGACAAATGAGAATACCGTCTGCAAGGTAGGTAACTAAAATCAAGGCATTGATGATGTAAACAAGCCCGCGACGCGGTTTTTTGACCGGGATGACCACCGGTATTATGCCGTCGACGGGAGCAGGCGGATTGGCTTGTCTTTGTGTATTGAGAAGTGGAGCATGGGCGCGATCGAAAGATTGAGCATTCGGGAGCGTCTCGTAGCCGACGTTTTGTAGTTTCCAGACGAAGTTGGTGAATGCGCGAGATCCAAAGGTCCAAGCCAATGTGAGTATGAGAAAGGCAGGTGTGAGGATCCGAAAGAGGACCAAGGCCTGGTATAGCTGAAGGTTCAGTTCTTGATCGGTATCCGTAGGAGAAGCGAGGAGGTATGCAAACTTCATGATGATATGATTGCTAGACCGATTGGTGAAGAGGCAAATGTATAAAGCTATATGTAAGCCTTGTGCTGCATCGGTTTCAAAGCTGATGTCGAATCAAATGGGCGATGAGAATGGTAATGATAATCAAAGGATGGTAGAACAAGAGGAAAGCGTAGAAGTAGAATGGAGAACGAGAAGTTAAGTATGTAGGTACATTGTGTGATATGTAGCCTGACACCTCACGTGACATCTTGCATTCATAGGTGCACCTTGACCTGGTTTGGCGGTAACTTGAGCATTTTTCTCCCAGATGGCCTTGACGGCCAAGACCTGCAAAGATCCACGAGTAAACATCTCTTCAGAGCAAGTCAAAAGCGACCATTCAGTCAATATGATTTTATCTCACAAAGATAAGTCTTTACTAGCTTTCAATCACAACAGCATGTAATAATACCGGTTTGCAGTTAAGGTGCTTGCATATCGCCTCACATCTGATTATATCTCTTGTTTTCAAGTTTATCAATTTGATTGCAGATAAAACAATCAAGATGTGGAAGGAAATTCGTCAGTTCAAGGCCACGATTAGTGATCCATCAGGTCCACTGAGTCCTCCCCATACAGAGCTTTATGTGCCTAGCCCAAGGAGGACGTGGGTAACTTTGCGCGCAAACTGGGGACAGTAATATTTGTTTGACAAAATGGATCTTGTCAATCGCCGTGAATCAAGGTGGGTCCCGATTCCCTGATAGCAGTGTCGACACCGCCTTGCTCTGGGCTGCTTACCCATCAACCCTCGCGGCTTTCACGCGCATCAGTATTGCACAATTTATCCTTCTAAACAACATCAAAGGGCTTTCTCTGGTATCCATCTCCCTCGTTGGAATATCAGTGGACTAGCCTTGAACTCTTTCACCACTTTCCTCAATGGGGCAAGCCTTTGCAATGCTGAGTGGGCCTTAAGCGCGCCCGCCTGGGTGATGAGGGCTCTGCCGCCATGACTCACATTTTGAGACCGGCAACGCGTCCCGTCACGGTCAATATTCACTTTTTAGCCATGGATCAAATGGCTACATACACCTCCACGGTCGTGCGTAAGAGTAATTCCAGCCGCTGCCGATATTATCACCTCTAAACTCATCAAGTACTGGTCCTCCTGGCTGATCAAGCGCTATGTAGCCATGAAGAGGAGTAAGCATTTTGTCTTTCGCCCTCCCCCAGAAAAGGCTTGGGTTTGCTAGTGCTGGACGAAGACCGGATGATCTTAACAGTGTTCCATAATTAGGATTGAGGAGATTGATTCATTTAATCCTTTCTACAGCACATTTTCCATGGTCTGCACATGGATGGCGCGTTGAGGGTGGGAGTTTGCTGATGGGCAAGTTGTATGCACTTCGATTCAATCGTAACGACAAAACATGCAAATTGACTCATTCCGTGCCGCGTTCGTAATGTTGCAAGTTGCATGCATACTGAGGACTTATTGCTTTGACTTTGGCTATGTTCCGCATCCGCACAGGCATCCTAGACACTGATGAACGGCGGTCCCAAGGCTCAGCCGACTCACAATCAACTTCCCGGCATGATTTTGGATACCATGGTATACTTCACCCAGTGGCTCTCTGAAACATTGGGACTCACCAAGCATCCGCAACGGACGTGGCGCGAGTGAACCCTGAGTGGATCAAGTCTTTATTGGTCATGATATACCGGTAGACAAGCATCAGAAGCGGAAGTCTTCATCACGGTAGAACATGGAATACTTCATCAAAACGACAAGCGCGGGGCAAGGGTCAGAATCATCAGCGTTACTAACTAGACCAGAGATGAGTGAATTTTTTGGACATGATTTATGCACCTCTGGTCTTGCTTCAACGAGTTAAGATAGACCCGTATAGGATTTTCTGCAGCAATCTTTCAATCCAATTTCATTTCGAGTTTATCTTCGTACCCTCTCCTTGAAGACATTCCATTTCATTTCTCTTTCAAACTTTGCTTGTTCTCATTGGTTCAGCATACCTAGGTTTAACTCATTCGTATCATCTTAGTGCAGTAAATAATGTTTTCGACAATTCCTCGCCCTGAATCAGTCAGCCAACCATCTTCAGCTGTGCTGAATCGGTTCTCAACCTTTCGAGATCCTCAACCCATCTCTTCTCCCCTCTCAATGTACAATAATTCGCCTGTCCTCACTCCCACCATTGCTTCGCCCGCTCTACCCAAAGGATTTTCTAGTCACTTAAATAGTCCACGGAATTTCAATCATCGCGACGGACGCACACATATCAAATCCAAAACTTGTCATGGGTTTAGTGAAATCTTCAAGCTTCCTTCAAGCCCATCGGACCAGTTAGCGTCCTTTGCCACCCATAATGAAAATCCTACTTTCAATGGCTCTTCAACACATCCAACCTGGACACTCAAAAGCCCAGCGGAATTTTCGCGTCGACGCTCCCACACAACCCCTTCCTCATGTCCAACCGATAGTCAAAATCATGATTCTTATCAAAGTTTTGGGCAAAACTCGCCCTATGGAAACAATCCGCAACCCTTCTCTGACATGATGTCGATTCCAGACGCTGATTTAGCCTTTACACTGGGAGAACCTTCCTCCAATCTATTTTACACCCATGAAACAAATGCGACTCAATACACAGCCAGACCAATCGAAGCAACAAGTGAGATGAGGTTTGCTCAAGTCAATGCTGGACAAGAAGGTTCGGAGATCTCTCCACCGCCTATCAAGTTGCCCACAATGGTGCCTAATTCTATGGTCAGTCAACAAAAACATAAACATGGAGGCAACGGCAACACCGGAGTTCGCAAGACTAAAACGGAAACTGTTGAGAAATCTGACGCGCCTGCTGTCAGTGTCACTCCAGGAGGTTATGCTCGTAAATATGCTTGCGTCTGGGATGGGTGTGGAAAGGCATTTACAACTAGCGGTCATCTTGCGCGTCACAATAGGATTCACACTGGGGAGAAGCGATATGAATGTTTGATGTCAGGATGTCACAGTCGTTTCAGTCGACAGGACAACATGTTACAACAGTGAGCAATATCGCAAATAGTTCAAGCATGACATCTCAAGCATGAGATGAATTTCTAACCATGCTCTATCTTTTTCCTCAGCTACCGAACTCATCTCTCCGGAAAATGTCGAAGACTTCCGTCTGTTTCCTCAACTGCTTCCAGCAATGACAGTAAGAAGACTTCTGATAAACGATCTCGCGAGAAAATGCAAAGCTCAAGTCATGAGACAGATGCAACTTCGAATCATCAACCGAAAGAATTTCCAGAGTCGGTCATCGAAAACGATTTCTCCAACATGATAGATTACCATGAAACAGTGCCGATATCAGCTCCTCCACCAATCTCTGACGAATTTCCTTTGATTTATGACGACAGTACATCATTTACCAATGCTTCATCTTACACATTCTCCCCATACCCTCCCTTTGAACTTCAAGAAGCGGAGCTCATAATGGCTGAACCAGAAGGCTTTCGTACACATGACATGAATACTTACCTATCCCAAGACCGGGGCTTTCCTCCGTCCGCATGGCCTTTTGATTATGGCGATCAATCCAACCAGCAAGTCTTCGCTTCATCACAATCCTATCGCGAGTCAGATTTGGTCCACAACCCATTTGGTAACTCGTTCACCAATCTACAGTACTCACTCCCGGATGTACCGCAAGATTTGCAAGAATTTTACGAGAGGAATCCTTACGAGGTGAACCATCAGGATATGAGTCCATTTGCTCTCACTAGGTCACTTCAATCTGAGGGAGGTCAATATTTAGCCTTTGAAGGAAACCACTCATGACTCTTTCGAAGAGTAGAACTAGGAACCTTCAGTAGGTTCAATACTTAAGTATGGTGAATTTTTTGTATAGTATATTTAGCATAAAAATGTTTTCCAATTTGTTTCTCAATATTTTGCAATTTTGTACCCTTTTTCTGGTCTTGTCAATATATCTTCTCAGTAGGGCTCCTCTTTTAATGTTTGGACGCAAATGTAATCATGTGTTCTCTTAGTGCTTCTGAATGTTTTACAAACCAACTTTCCTCGACTGAGCGTCCAAAGGCGGACTTGCCTCGAGCGACGCCAGGTAATTCTTCGGCGGTGTGTTCAAGTTCTGGCAACTGGACTGGAGTTAGATCCTGAATCCCATGAGGCCATCGTGTGCCATTGATGTTTCATGACCGCGTCATCGTGTTGTAAGTTTTGAGCTGAACCACATACAGATCCGTCTCCTTCTAGCTGTCAATTTTAAGCTACATTGATCGCGCAACTCACCTCTCACAGTTTTATGTAAATCATTTATTATATTGTAGCCTTCACAAGGAGTAAGGTACACTCTATCGTGCATTGAAGCAATATACCAATGAGCATGGTATGCACCTCTCATACAACTAGAGTGATTTGTGCGTGTCAAGCTGCCGAGTGATGGAACATCTTGAGTATCTTGAGTACACTTTCTCGACCCACATTAACATATCTCCTGGTTTATTGGTGGAGAGTCTTTGATTCTAGTAGTTCGTGAAAATGCTTGTATCAAAGCTATGAAATCATTCTTGTTAAATTAAAAAGCTTGATCAGAGGAAACAAAAGATATCGAGTTTGACAAATCATTCCTGGGTAAGAAACCATTCTTGTTAGATACTTGAATACACTTTTAACAGCATATGATGTGAGAAATGCAAGGATTGAAATGGAACAGTAAGCACAAAGTAGTGTATTCAATTATTGGTAAGTAATATTGTATTCCTTTTCCAAAGGCAATTCACAGTCTTTGTCAGAATCATACTCTTTTGAAGCAGAGCACTATCAAGGCGGATTGTGTGATCTGATCTTTTGCTTCCCTACTAAACTCGAGTTTGAAGAGAGTCTGAGAGGCAATAGTTTGCATACCTGACGTTACAACATCAACGATTATGACTGGTACAAAATTGTCCCAGGCTAACTAGCAAGTCATTCTTGATATCATGATAGGAGATCACAATATGAGAGATGAGATATCAGTGAGCTTTGGATCAGTTGTTGCTGATCGAGTTTTTTGCGCACCTAGCAATGATTTCTGTAACTTCGGTTAAGATGATTGTATAGCCTATGGCTCTGAGCTAGAACATGATTTACTACTAGTCTAATCATTGAGACATAGTTCCCAGGTAGCTATTCTTACTGGTTGCATCTACTTATCTACTTATAAAGGATACATAGATGTATATGCATGCAGTACCTCTAGAATTCACATGCAGACATCTTGGGAAACTCAGCCTGATGGGAAACCACTGCTTGGATGCCAGGATTTGGGTCTATCAGAGTTCTTGAGAGAAGGTCAAAATCTCGAATCAAACAGAAGGATGAATGAAGATGAGGTAATAGCGAAAGGCGTGTGGTGCTTGTTTACTTGTAAGAGAAAATGAAATTGATTGAGACAAGACAATAAATCGCAACTGATAGCAATAGTACATCAAATTGAGAGAAATTGACTACAAATGTCTGATTGTAATTGTTATTCTCAAATTTTTCACTCTATCAACACTTACAGGTGTTGACTATTGAGCCGACAAATCAGTGATCTCATATTCTTAGTCCAGAAAGTGTGGGAATGCTGATCACATGACATCTCATAGTGTAAACATTCCGTTTTCCAACATAATTCCACAACGGTCTCTGCCTAAAAACACATACAAAATTATGACTTTAAATAAACTGCTGAGTTTTGACGGTGTCTTTTGAGGGATTCAGTATGGTGGCCGCGGTTGTTGATTGAATCCTGATGATTGGTCTAATGATTTGGAGGTCAGACAATTTTGTCCCTGTCACAGTTTGCTCAACAACTACCAAACAGACACTAACATGGATATTGAGTAGGGCTGGAGTGAGGATAGTACCCAGATTGGTTATTCGGTGGCCCGCCTGGGGGCGGACTGCCTGTATTCTGTGGGGTAAGTCGGCGATCGATTCAAAGAGAACGTCAGTTCAAGAGAGCCGCAACTTAGGAGCTCCGAGAGAAGTTTGCTGACATAAGGCATGTCCTGCGGATAACCTACAAAGCTTGGTTGGGCATACATTGCGCCGAAGTGCGCGGGTGGATAAACTCCGTTTCCTAAAGAGATGACTGTGTTCAGTGTCTGTGAAGCATGCAACCATGAAGCGAGCTAGATAAAAGAATGTGTAACTGGCTGACCTCCCATGAGTGACGCAGGTCGATAGGGCATATAGGATGGTCCGTTGGCTGACCACTCTGCAGCTGTTCCCGCTGGTCGGGCCTGTTTGGCTACGTTGACGCGCAGTCTTCGACCCTCTGCGAACCAAATGACATCAGCTGAAGTCTTTGTGGTCCAAGCAAATGCAACGGCTCGAGATATCAGTACTAAGAGTCACTTACGCTGAATTTCTCGAGAGTGTGCGAGTGTCGGCGAAGCGAGTATGGTATGATATAAGATAGTGGCAGACCATGATTACGAGAGTAAGCACTTGTCAGTGCCAGTGTTTGTAGTATTGTATGTCGCCTCTATCGCAGTTCAAGCTTCGCTGGTCTCCTTGGAAGGATTCCCGGAGATCAACCGGATGCGTTGCAGGTGAAATGTTATTTGGTCGAGTAGGGAGCCACCGAAGGCAAGATCGCCCTACAGCACCATTGCACAAGTTGGGATAGATCGCAGAACATAATGGAAGGGTTACTCACCAACTCAGTGTCATTCATGGTGGCAATTGCATGCTCAGCTTCTTGCACAGACGAGAACTGAAAGAGGCAAGTAGCATTCAATGGTCGACCTTCAGCTGTAAGCTCTGTAGGAATTGAAGAGAGCTTGAACGCACCGTAACAAACCCGAATCCGCGACTACGACCTTCGCTTCGCATAACTACAGCGTCCTTGACCTGTCCGATAGGTGCAAAGTGGGCACCGAGGGTAGGATCATCGGTCTAGCTCATCATCGTTCAGAGACAGATGAGATTGCGTCAGATCAGGCGACAAAGAGATCAATTGTAGAGGAGTGGGATAACTAACACCCCAAGCAAGGTTTCCCACATAGACCTTGCAAGAAGACATATCTTGATAAATATAGCGACCCCGAGCGGGCGGAAAGTCAAGTCGATAAGGAGCTAGCTGATAGAGACGAGTCCGGCCGTCTAACTGTGATCAAGGTACGTCTTGTACAAATGCTCGAACAGTTGATGTATGCTGATGTTGTGTTGGGAGCGGGGTGTCGCAGACGAGCCAATAGAACGTCTGCAGCAAGAGATCGTAAGAGGAGTGAACCCCGAAGAAAATAACTGAACTCGAGCTGACCACGAAGACAAATGGTGGACGAACAGAGGAGATAAGCGGCTGTATAGAATGATAAATTCCAAACAGTGAGAAGGTATATTACAAGCGGCAAGGAAAAACTAATAAGATTCATATATAAATTTATAGACCGATTTAAACAGGTGCAAACCTGTGAGAATCGACCAAGAGCTCACGCTCTCCCCCGGAGCAGCCCGGAGCATATGTGATAATATGCGTGGCAGTGCTGAGAGAGATCTTGAAAGTACATAACACCGGAATTTAACCAACAAATGGTGTGATGTACTGCTTATTGAGAGAATGGGATAGCAAGCTTCTATGCAACTGTGTGCATGGCTGCCACAGTAGGCAAAAGTAACAAGTCAAACTATCGCCCACCCCCAAGTCTTAAATCATCACGCATCTCTTCCCCTGGAGCCTGGCCAGAGACTTTCCATGCCCATGGCTAACATTATTTTTTTGCATTTTCTGTGGCTGAACCAGGTCACATTTATGCACAATAAAAGGTTCTCCTGCGCTTCGATCAAGTCAAGGCCCGAAACAGTCGCTAGGCGAATCCCCGCTTCGATTCTGACACACCGAAACCTCCAGCTTTGAACTCGCGCGAGCCCCACTTGTTTCTTTTTTGTCATAAGTTGAGTATAGGTGACTGGAGTACTTATCTGGACTTGCGGCGGCACTTGTAACGGTTCAAGCAGCGAAGGGCCGTCAAAAAGATGCACGCAGCACCTCGTAGCAATTAAATAGGGGTTGGGTGGAAAAGCGACCAACCGGTTTGCGAACACAATTCAGTCGCAGTTCAAAAATTTCGGAATGCTTTCGAGATTGCTCTATGAAAGCCACTCAAAACTGACAAACATTTTTGTCTGTCTTTTTGTGTCGCAAAAAAATATACCGGTATGAAGTGTTTCTTCACGACTCCAAAGCTGTCGCCATTCAAAAGTCCTACAGGGCTAAGCCATTTGTGCCGCTACAAGCCACACAAACGCTCTGTTCACCTTTTACAGGTCTCTGGTCTCTTCTGTGAAAGCTGCAACAGTCTACCCGAGTACCACCTGGTGTGGATTTTGCTGAGCAATCGGTGGGGGCTGGAGGAGGAAAATCAGAGCCGAAGACTGACTTTGGGACTCTTCGGGTCCCTGGCAGAGCGGCAGACCTCGGCAGACCTGTGAAACCTTCACACAATTGATTTCGGCCATCTTCGGCTCTTTTCGACTCACTTCTCAAGGGCGCAAAACCGGTTGGTCGCTTTTTCGCCCAACCCCTAATGAGATTATGTATCAATTTGGGAGAAGGTGGAAATCCGATGCCCAGTCGACCAAGTCACAAGTGAGAAATTAAGTTTGGGACTCATTTCGGGACGTTCGTGTCTAATTTTCAAAGCACCTAATAAAAGAATTTTCAGCAGAAATCTGAAATATGTAATAGCGGTGTTACATTTTAATTCACTTTCAACGGTTGAAAGGACTTCATTGCTTGTCGAGAGTTGTCGAGTCACTTGCGCCTACCGGTGCTTGCGCCGACGCCTCACTGTTGAGGGTTGGGTCGACGATGCAACTCCGGCCGTGTTCGACGTCGAGAGTCGCAAGGATTGATTGAAAGTGTGATAAGTATATACTAAATTCAATTGGACCACCAGAAGGCCCGCCGGTGAGAAGATCACTGAAACCTATATAAACTTTTCGGTACACTTTTTAGTCTGCTTTCTCTCGCACCTTCTCTCGATGCTGCGTCTGGCTAAAATAGCGGAGCGGCAACCCTGAGGCTCTGCTCCGGCTGTGACTTCGGTTTTTCCACTTACAATCAATACTGTTAAGGTTGAGTTTAATTAATTTGACTTGGCCTATACTTTGGGGTGCAAGAGGGTGCAAATTTGTGCGCACGCAGTCTCACATTGATGGTGGAGTGTATGTGCTGGTATGCCTGTGTTTTTGGGGGTTCTTGATAAGAATCTTGATGAGCACAAGAAGGCATGAGTTCATGGGCAGGCTGATGTGGTGCATGTCATATGTACAGTCAATTTCATAAAGGTTGAAATCGAGTCGTTTTGAAAATCGAGACGTGGTCCGTGCGCCACCTGTGACAGGTGTCGGATATGCATACAAACATGCTAATCTGGACAGCATAGCCACCCAACTCTTAAAAGCCTTCTGGCACACTCGGATTAATGCCCTTTTCTCAGGTTAGAACATGCTGTTATTGTCACATATTTTTGGGTTCGAGCCCCAATGGCTTTCTTTCAACTTTACATTTTTTGACAAGTTTTTCCCTTTTTTATTTGCTCGGTGTCATGAACTGAAAAAATGAAACAAACTACGCTATTTTTGTTTGCGCGCATTTGCTGCCATCATTGATTATAGACAAAAACGGTGGCAAAAAAGGGGAGACGGCGAGTCGAACATGGGATTTACAATCAACATCGCACCAAAGTACCGTGGCTACAAACCGCTGCGACACGAGAGACTGAGAGCTGATTAGTTATCAAAGGTTTCGATGCTGTATGTTCTTCGATCTCGCAGGTAATTTTGCTACCTGTCACAGGTGGCGCACGGACCACCTCTTGATTTTCAAAACAACTCGATTTCAACCTTTATGAAATTGACTGTATATGCACTTGCTTCTGCAAGAAACTGTTACAGACAGAAACCAGCAGAAACCACTATGATGCATTCACAGGAGGGGATAAAGCTTAATTCCTGTACGGAATGAAGTCAAAGTGATATGTACAAACATTATATTTTCTCTCACTTAACAAAGCCCCTCTCGGACAAACAAATAGGTGTGGGAGGGAGTTATATGTACCTTATACATGAAATTTGGCTTGTGAGCCAGACAAGTTTGGTTGAGGGCTTCTTCAACACTCCATATCTGTGTACCCTACAGAAAAATATCCTTTGGACCAAAGAAAAGACTTGTGCCTCTCAACCTTTGCATACTGAACTTTTTCAATTTTCCCTTGGCTCCAGTAAAGCACTGAAAAACAGACTTGAAAAATTGCTCTATGTGTGATATTTCAGCCTGTCTGGTGTGAGCTTTTGGCAGGTTTGAGAATTCATATCCAGATTGCTAAGGCAAAGCTTTACAAAGCCAGAGTGGGAGTAAATGAACTACAAAAGCACTGGGATCAACCTGGCTTAGGTATTTTTCAGTTTCACTTTTGTCTCATAGTGTGGAGTTTTACTAGTCAACTCCTGCAAACACCCTATAAAGGCATGGCATAAAGCTGTCACACATTGCAAGCAGCATTAAAAATGCTTCAAATCTGACAAGCTTGAGACCAAAGACAACAAGAGTGATGGCTTTGAGGATGAGAAGGATGGCAGTGATGACAGTAAATGTGGTGACAGAAATGGCAATAATTAGGGGATACAAAGTAGTATCCGGGCATGTGCCCAGATTCTACTTTGTATCCCCTAAATGACAGTAATTGGGATGAAGCTATTGATGATGATGATGACAGCAACAACAACAACAATCAACACATCTCATCTCAACTCAACTGCCAGATCTACCTCTTGGTCATGGCCCAGTTCACATGTCTGGATTGAGATTGCAAATCTTCAATAAGTAGACCAGAGTGCAGAGCTTGATGTCCATCACACACTTCCATGGGCAGGCAACTCTGTAATACAAGTGCTTATACTTTGTGTCTTGTGTCACTTCTACTGACCAATGATCCCATTTATAGATTTTCAGGCTGCAACAACCAAAGAGATGGCAACAATGGCTCTCAGTCTTTCCAATTTTCAGAACACGACTTCCATCCATAACAACCTTTCTCATCAGATCAGCAACCTCCATGATCATGCTGCCAACTCAGCAACTGATAGCACTGATAAGGCCCCCTGGCTTGCCAAAGAGGACACGGCAGAGCTTTGGGTCAGTTCATGATTAGTGCCTGTACAAGGCATGAGGGAGGTTGTGTTGGTCCATGGACTCAGAGGACCCGGCTGTCTTAGGAACCAGACCAGGGAACTTGGGAACTCCCCTGCACCCTGGTCCAAGATCAAAATAGTAAGAAAGGGTCATGTGTCTCTCCCTGGAGACAAACAAAGGACCTGGTACAACTCCTCATAAGGAGAACCTGTGGCTTGAGATGATCTTTTCTTCCCACTGTTCAACTCCTTTTCTCTATCTCAGCCACAAGATCTCCACTTCAAGCCTTTGTTGAAGCTCTTTTCCCTCTCTATCCTCATGCGCTTTCCCTCTCTATCCTCATGCGCTTTCATTTTTGGTCCTCCCGCCCTCCCTACTTAGTGTGTGTTCTGGGCAGAACAACAGGAATTTGTGGAACAGGGTTATACACTAACCCCTCCTGTTTTTGTTCCAGGACTTTCTTCCTCTTGTGTCGGCTAAAATTCATCCTCTTCATCTCCTAGGCTATTCTTTGGCCTTAGTAAGCCAGAAAGCTGAGAGATTTGGGGGGATTTGTCCCTTAGCCCACACACACGCCACACGTGCATACATAGGAGTTATGAAATAAATACCAAGTTAATTCATGAGTTTTATTCTGAAAATTGCTCATGATTTGGAAGCAATAAATATTGCTTCCCCCCACATAAAAGCCTCCCACAAACATAGAAGGGAATGGACAACATGTGTCAGCCCCTGAGCTTTGACATGTCCAGAAGTATTACAATAATTCAAAATGATTTACAAAATTACATTTACAACTTGTGTCTGGCTTCAAAGACAACAATAAGAGATTACCCTGTGTGTCTGGTCTAATGAGGCAAAAAGAACCATAAGTAAAAACCAATTAAAAACTAGGAAATTGCACATGTGTGCCTAATCTTAAAGGCAATAAAAGACTCATAGTAAAAGATAACAGATTATGAATTTATCTTATGCCTACTTTCAAAGGCAACAAGCAACAAGCATGTGGAAAAGACAACACCTGTTTACCCAAAAGGTGCTCAAGCACTAACCGGATAACATATTCAGGCACCACCATCAGTAAATAACCCTTGATTTATTTCACATACCACAAAGAAGTTTTTCCAGAAGTAAATGTGTTAACTAATCCAAAGAAGGAAGGTCAGACATTGAAACAATAGAAAACCCACATATGAGAACACCCACACAGAGGGACAAACAAGCCCTCCTATCCTGGTCTATAGTAAACAACAATACCCTTCTTACCAAAGTATGAGTTTTGGAAATCACAAATGGATTCATGACTGGACTGGTCATTACCACAAGTCAGCCCATCCATAAAACAAGTATAAAAGGATATCATCTCCACAAACAAAGGCAAAGCTGGCTCAGCAGCGCTAGGTTAACAAGTAGCGCTGCCATAGCTCAACGGAGCAAAGTTTTGGTGGATGCCCGTTTTATGGTAGCAGGGCCCGCGTACCGCTTTCCTTTTTGGGAAGGGTGAGTACCGCGGCCCCAGTACCGCTTTCTGGGGTCCCGGGGGCCAGAAGCGGTATATCAGCCTTGCTTCTGGCTTTCAGGTGATACCCTTCCACCCATCACACACTTCCTCACCTCAGCCAAATCTTTGCTGACTCTTCATTGTTCATCACATCCAATTCAAATTGATCTTAGAATGCCTCTCCAAAGTACCTTGCAAGCCAGCTCTGGATACAAGTCTGACATCAGTGTCCCCCGCTGTTCTGGTTGCATCACAACAGCTGCTTGTAAAGCACCTGGGATGATTTGTCAGCCTTCTGACAGTTGACAATCAGTCCCAAGCTCCTTGTTCACCTTTTCTGTCCATCATCATGCATCTTCGGCATCCAAAGGGAAGGACAAACGTGTCCAATCGGAATCAATTGCAGCAAGTGAAAGTCAAACACTTGAATCCAACAACAACAAACCTGTGATCATGAGTTCAACCATACGCAAGATAGCTCCCATCTTTCAAAAGCAATCTACCACCACCTCCAGTCCAGTCAAGAACAGTGCAGGAACTCAAAGGGCAGCTTGGCCATCCCAACATAGGAATGCTGAGGCCGAGAAGAGCCTGGTAATTCTATCTCATCATCAAACTTCTAATGAGATGATCAGAAGTTGAACTAATCAAATGTTGTATTGATCTAGACTTTGGCCACCAATGCTTGCACGGTTCCGGATCTCAATCAAGACTCTGACGATGAGAACAAGCATGTACGCAAGTGAACTTGGGAGTCAGACAAGCACCAGGACAAGCAGCCTGAATATGATCCACCAGTTCTTTACTATGGAAAACTGTTTCATTGCCCCACCAATGTCAGTCAATCTTGTTTTATCATACATAAAGATCTCTATAGTTGATTATGACTGGCCTGCTTACTGTGCTACTTATCAATCTCTAGGACCCATCCGGACCTCCCCTGACACTCAAGTGTAAGCATTGTCACAAGGAAGTCCAGATCAGTGGCAGTTTGAAATCCAACCTCCAAGTTCACCGTGATGGCTCAAACCAGGCTGGTAAGAACAACTTGGGATGCCCTCGTCAAAGCCAAGCCATTGCTGCCGGAGCAAAGCTTCCCCCAACTCAAGCTGAGATTAAGGCTGGTCAAATCTGTGACACCCATGCGTCCTCAATGGACAACTTTCTTCTACCGGTTCCTGAGTTTGATAATCTAGTTTCCAATAAAATGATCAGTCTCTGGCAGGTTAGCAACAGCCTGCCATGGACGTTAATCGAGCACCAAATGCTAAGGGCTATCCTCAAATATCTTAAACCGGGTCTTCATCTTTACAAACGGAAGTGGACAGCCGGCACAGCCAAACGACTGTACATTGGCCTTTGGGACAATGTGGTTGTGAGGGTTGAGTATTCAAAAGAGTACTCAAAGCTCACTAAAGATGGCCAGGTAGGTTGGTAATTTTTGATAATTAAAGTTATATTTCAAATATAATGTATTACAATAAAATTATAAAGAAAAGAAGGAAAGAGAAAGAGGGGAACTGGTCTGTTTGGATGAATCCAGACAGACTACAATTAGAATACTCCTGTAAAGGAGGATATAATTATAGAGGATTATGTTTAAGAAAGCTGGATCCAAGGCTTTCCTTCAATCTTCAATTTGACAGATTGAAGAGTGATGTGGAGGTCACAAATCTGGTTATTACTAAAGTCACCAACCTGTAGTTGTTCTGAAGGTGACTAACCTGAAGTTTATTTGAAGGTCACTAACCTGAGGAAGAGTTCTACTTGGGGGAAGTAGAGGATCCAAGGAAGGAGGAAGAATGAAATTACTCTATCTTTTAGTCAGGAACTTCTTTAAAGATATGAAGTGAATCACTAGTCTTATATTTATAATACTTTTGATTATGTACTTCAAAGGAACTTTAAAGGGTTCTTTAAAAGAGTCGTGTAATAAAAATGCTTGAGGGAAAATCTCTGAAGGCTGAGAGAGGAGGGGTTTATATACTCTCCTCTCCAAACCTAATTGTAGTGATGTCTGTTTGTATCACTACTGTGGTTTAGGGTTTAATGATCACTATTAGTTATTATTATTATTAATATTACAGAATTACATATATGTGTTATGTAAATTATGTTGTATACACATTTTAACTCTTGACATTGAGTTATGGGTGTAATTGGTGTTTTATTACATATTACATATGTTTTTAAATGTATATGTATATGTAATTGATGTTTGTATATGTCTTATTATATGTTACATGTGTTTTATAGGCTGTATGTACATGTAATTAGGTTTATAAGTGAAAATTATATATTATAAGTTAGTTTTGGGTACATGTATATGTACCTAGGGCTGACAGTGGTAGCTGAACTTAAGGTATGTATGTTCTGTTTGTTTTATTTGTATATTCATATTTCTAACACGTCATTCTGGTAACTGTTCTCAGGCCCTCTCAAGCATGTTCACTTTAATTCAAGACGTTTGGACGGTGTCTTGCAACCGACAGACGTTCATTGGAGTGTTAGTGGCTTTTGTGGACAAAGACTGGAAGTTTGTGATATGTCACCTGTCTCTGAAGCTGGTCGCATGGCACCACCAAGGAGAATGGCTGGCTGCTCCTTTAGCAACAGTACTAAAGAAGCACGACCTTGGTAATAAGATAAGTGTTTAAATCTTCTCACTTCTATTTTCAAAATACAGTGCTGACATCTGGTTTCATTATTGTACATGCTAGCAATGGCTTCAGACTTGGGTTTGAACAACTTGACCTTGGCAACCAAGTTGCAACATCAGCTTGTCCTACACAACACCAGCTCTCAGTGGAATGCAACCACCATGCACATATTCTGCATGTGCCATAAGACTGGTCTCATTGTACATGCAGGATTGGATGCACTTGGAATTCCGCCCAAACAACATCAACATGCCAATTTGGTTTCCTTCCCCAACACCGATGCAATGGAGAGTGTTGCTGAGGAAGACAAACAAATTGACCAAGTTGTAATTGATATCAACCAGCGCAAAGAGGTAATTGACGAGTCCAATGATGAAAATAATCAGCAAGACATTGGTAAGCTATTGGATCCAGATGATGATGACAAAGAAGTGGATGATACCCCTCAAGAAAACCAGAATGAAGAGGATGTCGAGGATCAGGATCCTCCACAAAAATCTGCCACCTGTGCCAAGAAAGGCCTTCCACGTACTTGCATGGCTTGATTGGTCCAAAATGTAAGTGACCTCATCATTTCTCAATAACAAAATTATTTACAATCTCACATTGATTTCATGACTTTTTCAGCTGAACATACACTGTGCAGATGTAGTATTTTTCCACCATGCAAAATGATTAAAATTAATGTCAAAATGATTAAAAATGCTGTGTTAATGCATAAAAATGCACTATTAATGCACCATTCATGTGGAAAAATGCAGCATCAATGCAGTAAAATGCAGTGTTAATGCACACACAAAATGAATTCAGAATTCTACCTTTTTCAATTTTGTTTGTCCTTCAGGTCAATCATTTTTCACTTGGGAAAAATACTACATCTGCCCAGTGATAGTTAATAAACAGCTTACTCAGTCGGCTGCCTGGCGAGAGGACTTCAACCAACGTTGCACTGCAGTTAACACCAAGCGTAAAGAAGAAGGCCAACCTGCTCTCCTTGCACTTTTAGGCTGGATCGTTGGGAAAGAATGTATGCTGCACAAGACGTATGTACAAATCATTCACTCACTAACTATCATTTTGTCAAGTTGATTCACAGTGTCATTTTACTACTCACTGGCAGGCCAGTAAGTACATCCACCTCAATCCAATCTCAATCCAATCTCAAATCCATGTCAGTTCAATATCAATCCAATCTCAATGTTTGGCCTAGAGTAGCAGACAAACAACCTTCCAGAATGAACTGGAATAAAGTTCGGTTGCATGTCCACGCATGAAGGTGTCAGAATGTCTGGAAGGTTTGAGTGATTATGCAGCCCATCCATATCCCCCACTCAAATATAACTGGAGGTCAAACTGATATTGAACTGACATTGAATTGAGATTGGATTGAGGTGAATAGAACTCACTGGCCTGCCAGTGACTAGTAAAATGACACTGTGATTATATCTTTTGGTTTTTAATCTTATTCATCTTGACCTTATATAATTTCATCGTCAAGATCATTGATGAGATGATGAAAGAGGATTTATCAAAGGTGCATGCCAAACAATGTCAACCACGTAAGAATGGCACCAAAGGTGGATATTTCGAAGAACTGGTACTCTCAGTTGGGGATTGGGAATCTCTCCAAGAGGTGATCCAGGAGTTGATAGTAAGTTATCAAGTATTTAACTTATATGTGATAGAATGAGTCAACTGATGATACTTGTACCAATAGCCCTTACAAGCCTTGTGTCAAATAATAGAGGGTGATGGCCCTACTGGATCTATGGTCTTATACGAGTATTCTGAGCTGTTGAACTCACTTACCGATTGACTTGATTCTCTCTTGGATGATGATCCACTCTATCCAATGATCCACGAGATGACACGACAAACTATGATCTATATGGACAAAGCTCTAGCTTGCGACTCCCTGGTTCTAGTCGCTATATTTCACCCCAGCTTTAGGCTTGGTTTTTTTGCTCTTGCCTTTGGCAAGGATGATGTTATGACAAAGCACACTGAGGCATTGCTTCACTCTAGATTCAAAGACCGTAAGGAAGAAATTAATCTCAAGGATTCCACCAACTCTGAAGATGTTGTTGTGGTATCATCAACTTCAGACAAATCAAGCAAAAAGAAGGTCCCCAAGTCTTTTTCACTTTACCAAAATGCAAACACGTCTAACGATCTAGGCAAATTAGATTGCCACCTTCAAGGCTTGGACCCGTTGAAAACTCAAGATGTGGACCAATTGTTGGATCCAAACTGTGCTCTGGACTGGTGGAGGGTAGATTTATTTCCCTTTTTCATTCTTGTCCATATACTCCACATGAACTTATTCATTTGTTGATTAAATCTTTGACTACATACAGGAGCATGAAGATAAGTATCCCATCCTCGCCACTTTAGCCAAGGATTACCTCAGCACAACAGCCTCATCTGCCCCCGGAGAACGTCTGTTCACCGTCGCGGGGGAGGTTTGTACAGACAATCAAGCGTCTATGCACCCCCAAACTATTGAAACGGCGGTTGGTGGCTAAATGTGGGCTAGACAAGGGGTGCCTCTACCTTGTGCTTTCAGCAAGGTAGACAAGGTCCTGCAGTACATCAATAAGAAAAAAGGAAAGAAATGATTGACTTCAACTTCAAGTATTGAATGGCTTTGCTTAGAATTGTTTTTTCATTTCAATTCTACTTACCTGATGCATTCTTCACACCTCATACAGTCTTTACCTTCTTTTGTACCCTATGCCCAAGTTTTCTTATATATGCTATGCCTTTCTTGTTGAACAATCTCTCCAACTGCTAAAATTTGTCTTTACAAACTCTTTGAAATAGCTTTACATACAATTTGAAATAGTTTGTGGATTAATTTTGCCATTTTGGTGAATTTCCAGCCGTTTTTGGTGTTTTCAAGAGTTTTGTTTACTGCTTCTGAGGCGCTCAGAAATGCCGCAGCCGCTCCGCTGTCCCAAATTTTTGGCCTTGGGTAGCTTCCGCTCACGCTTTCTATTTGGACATGTGTGAGGTTTTGCTGCGCAGACGCAAAGCCAAAAAAAAGCTTTGCAAAGCGTAGCGTGCCAGCCTTGCCTGGTACACAT